ATATATATATTAACAATTATCAGAGATATGGTCGTTATGATCAAAACGTTTCGATCTTGACGCGAATCCTTTTCCGCGAAAATATTTGTTTGTTAATATAGTTTTGAACACTAAGGACGGTCGAGTATTCTAATTTTATTTAGTTTGAAATGTTCGGTACGCTACAAATTCAAAACAAAATATTTTGTTATAAAGTTGTTTTTGGTTTAGTTAATTTTTAGTTTAAGATTAAAGACAAAGTCTAGATATAAATAATGTATGTCATCCTCAATAGATCGTTTTAAAAATATATAGTTTCTTGCAAGAATTCTTGTCGATTATTTTCCTGGCTATGTATGAATGTATCACCAAATTAAGCTTCGCTAGAATATTCCGTATATAATTTTATCTTTTTTAGCAGTCCCCTCTTTGATCATATTCAAATTCTCTCGCCAAATGCGCGTTAATACATTTTAAATTTAAGTAATCGCTTCGTAAAATCCTCTATTATATATATATAAAAACTAAATAAAAGTCGAGTTTTATAAAGATCTGAACGTTGACAAGAAAATTCTATTGAAAAGAGAAGGATAACAGCCAGAGTGGATTCGCAACACATTATAAGTTTCACCGTTTTACACATTATTAACCACGCAGAAAAAATTCGTATAATAAGTATATAATTATACCATTTTTAAAAATTCGTATAATAAGTATATAATTATACCATTTTTATAATAAGCTGTATGTAATTCAATAATGCGCTTGTTTTAATAGCACATATTTTAATAGAATATGAGTTTAATAACAATCTCAGACGTAATATACTGAACTTAATACTAATGCTTTTGTCAACAATTCCGCTGATAAAATATGTAAGTTGCAGATGTATTGCCCATCCCACCAGGAAAAACTGTTTTTATGGAATAATAACCAATAAAACTAGATGTCATACAGTAAAAGAGTAATATAAGCATATATACGTCGGCGTGTGCGTACGTGCGTGTGTGTCGTGTGTGGCGTGTATATGTACGTATCTATATTAAACATTTTCTTTATAGAAATATACGTGTAATATATCCTATGAACAACTTTGAATGATTAATAAATTTGTATATTCTCAAGAAAACGAAGTTTAAAGACTGCTTGCTATTTTTATATTTTAATTCAATTGTTAGATTTATCATACATTATTCTTAATTATAATTATTTATTGTATGTGTATTTTATTAATATTTTTTATGTAATATTATATTAAGTTAATAATGTTTTGTACGATTTAATCAATCAAATATTTTGAAAAAAATATTTTAAAAAAATCTTTAAACTTATTTCCTCAGTTTTGGATCGGTATTTGGAACAATAACGTTTGTAGCAATTACTATTATATTAACATCTTGTTAGCTTATACTCCGGCAACGTGTCCTTATCAGTGTATCCTTATACAATATGAATTGAACGACATGCCCCAAGTGCCCCAAGAGAGAAAGTATGCTATGTATACTGGTATGTGTATAATTTTAATACTTGCTAAAGTGATTGGCAGTTTGGTTACATTGATGCTTATGCATATACTATGGATATTAGAAATTTACAATTTGTTGAAACTAAATATACACACAGATTTTCCTAAAATATTTCATAAAGTAAATCCAATCATATGTTATAATAGAATACGATTTATTTAGCATTATGCAAATGAAAGAAAGTTCTTGGTGAAATATATCCTTAAAATTTTACATAAAACTTATTAGAAATTTTAGGAAATATTTTAAAACATTTTCATGATTCTTTCAGATTTTTATTTATACGAATTAAACTATATTTTTTTTTCAAAATATGACAACGAAAAAATTATAAATAATATCTTTCAATATTCGCAGATTTCTTTCAAATAAATATTTCTGAGAACATTTAAGATATTTTGATAAGATTTCAAATTTGCGCTATGATTATGCGCTATGATATATAATTATGAGCCTTGATAAATAACCATTGTGTATAAATCCTATCAAAACTTAATTAATAAATTTAAATTAGATTGTTTTGCATAAAAACTGATGACAATGTAATTTTGATAAAATTATTTCTCAAAATTACAAGTAGACTATATCAAAAAGGACCTCATATAAAATCACTGAAATTACACTAATATTCATAGTCGATTTTAGCTAAAGTACGACTGTTACAATACAAATATTTCGGCCTAAATAAAAAATCCTTTATTTCTTCAAATTCGTTTTAACGGAAACATCTATTTATATCAGTACATCTACAGCTATCTATAGCTAGTAACGTGTCCTAAAATTCTAATATTATTATCTCTATGAAATGTTATATATGCAAAAACCTCGAAAATTCAAAACAACATATTATCTTGTCTAATCGTAAGGTTAATATAAAAGTAACGTATCAACTGTGACATTACTTTTGAGATACATAGCTACCTGTGACAACCTTTATTGTCAACAATATTCCTGGCTTTCTCTCTTTATAGAAGTATATCGTCAAGTCAAGTTTGACTAGAATATTCCTTATGTAATTTTAACTTTTTGTAACTTCTTTCTAAATTTGTTTAAATCCTTTCGCCTTATTTACATTGATACATTGCAAATTCAAACAATCGGTACGTATCTTTTTAAAATCTTTTATTACTTCAAAGAAAATAAAATCATTAATAAAAGCGAAATATCGTTGAGACACTTCAACGAAAGGAAAAGTTAATTTAATTTCATCAACACATCATAAGAGTTTTATTTATTTATATATTATTTTTGTATTCACATATATATTATTTTTATTATTTATATATTATTTATATATTATTTTTATATTTACATATTATTTTAATTACACAGAGATAACTCACCTACATAATTACTCATACAGCACAAGATCTCCTGGGGACGTCTCAGAGATGTCCTGAGGACATAGAAACGTCCCTAGGACGTACCCTGGACGTTTCCTGGACATACGTGCTGTTAGGGTAATAATTCAATTGTGGTACTATTTTTATAATATACTATCTTTAATTTAATAATTGTTTTTGTATTTGTTTAAATAGCACATCTTTTATAATATGGAAATAATTAATATGGAAAACCTATTTATGCAAATAATAATATTTTATGGAGTATTGCATACAATAGTAACTTTACTGACATTGTTTATTCGTTTTATATGCGGAAATTCAGTAAAAATAAGAGTAATACTTTTAGAATTACTAGCCTCCACAGAACTATGTATGCTAAACTACGAAATTATTGGAAGTATATATCTATATGTTGAACATCTTTATTATACAAATTTATTTTATCATAAATATATCCGTATAGTACAATCAACATTAACTCGTACAATCAACATTAATTGATGGATAACCGTTAAATTTGTTATAATAATGGGATTTAGACACTACTCTTTTTTTATTTTTTTTTGTATGTTTTATATTTTTATATTTTTATTTTAAAATTTTTGAGTGTTAGATTTATTATATATTATTCTTGGTATGATTATTGTGCATGTTTTAATTAAGATTTTCTATCTTGCTTTTTATGACATTAAAAAAACATTTTATATAATTTGAAAAGTATATTTCATTTTTTAAAAGAAATGTCATACTCGTGTTTTCAGCTATAAAGTTAATTCAGCTAACAAAGTTTACGTCATTGTTTTATATATCTATTACGTTAGCATTATTAATATTTTTGAGACTATATTGGGTCGACATAGAATTATCCCCTAATATAATGCTAGAACATATGTTAATAAACAAGGATATTCGCTTCTATGGTGTACTTTTAATATTTGCTCAAATCCTCGGCGATTATCTTGCATTCACATTTTTGCCTGGGATATGGTCCTATTTTGGACTCAAACGATCATTAAGTTGCTTTTCAATGTTTTATAAAGTAAGTTCAATAGTATAATAGTTCAATTATGTATAATAGTATACTTTAGTACTTTATAGTAATACTATTTATAATTTTTTCTTCTTCCATACATAGAAAATATTTTCTAGTAAAAAAAACTTTAGAATATTATATATAACTTTTATAATATGAAAATATTTGATTCGTTGAAAAGTTTTTTCATAATTTTTATTATTTCATAAGACGAAATTTCATAAGAGCCTTGACAAATATGACTAGTTCATAATTTATTTAAGTATTCTTCGATTTTTTCTTCAGATCAACATTTATTAGTACATTTTAAACATTTAGATAGAATGTGAAATTGGTATCAAACATAAGCTGCGTTTATAGAAAATTGTTAGATACAAATTCTAAATTATACATATATATATATATATTTTTTTAGGCAAAAACTTACAAAATCTAAACAAACTTAGTATGTCTTTTTCAGGATTTTTCATAATTAAGAAATAAAGAACTCTGAAAAATTTCTAAGTCCTTTACGAAAAGTTTTTTCTTCTAGATTATTATTAAGCAATATTCTTTAAATAACGCACATATTTATGATATGTAAACATGTAGCATATATATAAATTTTAATATTAATTTTAATAAATATTTATTAATAAATATAAATTTATGTAATACACACACGCAGCATAACACATTTTATACATATACAGAGTTATTACTTTATGCGGATAATTTAATGTAATTTTACTGTTAATTTGATAAATACATATGATAATTTTTAGACTGATGTGGCAGCTGCATTTGCTATGGAATGGCTATTGACTATAGTTTACAGATTATCAGTTTATAGTCTAGCAAATATGAGCGAAGAGCTATCTAAAAATTGGTTGACATTTATATTAAGTACCCTGTTGACATTTTCTAGGATTGCAGGTTAGAAGATGTTAGATGTTCTTATTCTTTTTTATAAACATGATATACTATTTTGTTAATATTCCACAAATAATATGCATTTCAGGATTTTATTTGGTCGGTAGTTTCAACAATCCAGCGTTAGGAGCTTCTTTGAGATTCTATTGTTCAGGAATTGACTATCACAGTCTATTAGTTTATTGGGCTGCCCCGTTTTGCGGATCTCTTTGCGCCTTGTTTCTATTGCGTTTATGCAAACAATTGGCATATTACAGAACAACTGGGCCAGGTCCCGATACCAGATTTTACCTTAGATTTGAGGACATCAATTATGAGGTACATTATATATTTAAATTATTCTAATAATTATATATTTAAATAATACAGTTACCTATTATATTATATTAATAAATATATATTTATATTTTCGTTACATATAGAGGTCAAGACATAATAATTCGTTGTACATACAGCAAAGATTTGAACATGCACGTTCCTGGCCGATTAATGTTCCTTTTAGACCGCGTTGATGGGAGCAATTTAATTTTAGAATAATGCACTGTATTAAAAGGAACAAAAATAATTTAACAATATAATATTTGACAATGTATGCAATAATTTATAATACTATTGTGTTTATCATAAATAATTTTAAGTGCTTGCAATCTAGATTAAATAGGAGATAAAGAACCAATTGTTTATTACTGTTAAAAGAATATGTCCTCGTGCAATTATTAATATAATTATAGAGAAAAATTCGAATTATTAATACAATTATAGAAAGTTAGTTTTACTGGTATCTGAAACATATTTTAATATATTATATTTTTTATATGCAAAAAATGTTACACAAAAACTTTAACACATTCGTTACCGCGATTCATTTAAATCTTTCTACAGACTACTTCATATTTCTTTTTTACATAATTATGTAAAACAGATTTAATTTGATAACATGAATAAGGAGAAAAATTATTATTGTCACATATATGTAATGCTTGTAACAAAACGTTGTGTCACACATATGTAACATTAACAGCGAACGTATTAATACATGCAAACATAAATATATTCATATACAAATTTTCATATATGCATATATAAATATATATACATATCTAAATATATTTATACTTATATATGTATATGTCTGTATTTAAATATTATGCAATACTACTGTGATTTACTATGCAATACAATATATTGAATATTACCTTGATTTATTATGCAATACAATATATTGAAATATTATGCAATTGGCTTTAGTTGAGGTATATTATTGAAACTGCTGTCATGCGTTTACTTATTATTAGCGATTGGTAAATTGAACGACGTTCAACGTCTTAATGCATGTATAAAACATGATATATGTACGACATAAATGTTATGTATATTTTATAATGATACATTTTATATAGGAATAGTATTTTTTAAATAAAGTTTTTAACCTATGTAATTTCGACAAAATTATTTCCCAAGGTTACAAAAGGATTGTATAGAAATTACATTATAAAAAATTAGCATGATTCATTTATAACTAAATATACATGAAAATTGCTGTCATGTTATGTATATGATATCAAAATCTGAAATCAGCAGAATTATGGGCAATATTGAAGATATTTCGATTTTGGCAAGATGCATTTCCCGGATATTATTTTTCATATTTCATATCTGCATACCAATATCAACAGCCATTATCACAAACAATATTAATCGTATTGCTGAAAATGATACGCTGTAATAATTACAATGTGGAAAAAGTACACAACCATTGCGCAGTGTTACGAAGAGTCTGTTTTCGTAGAAGAAAGCCGTCTTATGAGACGTAATATAAACAAAAGATGGTAAGTACCTTTTATGTACCGGGACGCTAAGTTGCGAGACAGTGATGCTCTGCTTAAAATATTTGATAGAAAATGATTGGATAAGATTGAAATAGATAGAATTCCTATATTGATTTATACGACTTATCATGCACCGAATTCGTACAACATACACTTCCTACATATTTTAATCATATTTTATGATGCTATTCTTTTCAATCATCTTGAATATTGATGTTTGTATAATAAATTGATATTTCTGAATTATAGTAAATATCGCGTTATGTATTTATTATTATTTTATAATAAACTACTTATAATATTCTTTCATAATAATTCTACTTATAATAATGGTTATAAAATGATCAGATAAAAATGAAGGGAATATCTATGTAGTTTAATCATATCTTACGATACTACTCTTTTCCATCATATTGAATATAAAAGTTGGTATAATTAGTTTATATTTATCAATCATAGACAATACATAGTATATGAATGCATTTACGAAATTTTATAAATGAGTTGTGAAATATGTGAATCAAAATCACCATAAAATATGATAGAAAAATTTTCTATCATTTTCTATCCAAAATTTTAAGCAGGGTGCGCATTCGATCTCTACTACCGCTAGACTTTCTATTAGTTCTAATCTCGTGCCGACTTTGATGCTTATTTGTTCTCGAGGAGGCATAAAGTGACAGAAGCGAACACCACATGCATTCATGGCTGCTGCTGGAGTACCGAGCGAAGAAGAAGAGAAGGGAAGCGAACCGAATTTTCGGTCAAGTAATTTAAAGATCCGTTTTATTTGAAAGTGACATCCATATAATCGCCGAGGATTTGGTCTATATTTTATATTACGTTACAAAACTCGAAGCGTAGCCAATTCGTAAAATGTTTATGCAATTCTAGATTCCGCCAGCTTAATTAACCAAAGTTCGTAAAATATAAAAATTTATAATAATGTCGAGCTTCGACACGGCCTGATACCGACACCTAACGTGACAGAGCAAAACTACTTTGCAAATCGCGAGCGCATAAAGCGACCTCTAATATAGATATATAAAGCGAGCGCGCGCCGATCAAGCTCTCGTCCCTCTTTCGTCTTACAGTTCCATTCGGGTCTTCTCCAATTTTTGCGGCCTCGGTAATGTAAGCTCTCCTTCACGATGTAACGCTTAGGAAGGAAAGACTAAGGACTGTGATACGAAAGAAAGGGTAATTATTGCCACGATTGTTTGAAATTCGAGTGACTTTATTAAACTGAACTTTGGACCACCAGGGCGCTAGTACAGTCAAGAGAGACTTATGCTGCAATTCTAAGGAATATACGAGTAAATCGTAAAATCGTAAAGTCGTAACTTACGAAAAAAACAAAAAAAAAAATCGTAGATATTTACGAGTTATCATATGATATATAGTCCGCATAGAATTGCAGATCTACTCATAAGTTCTTACGAGTCTTACGAAAACAAGTTACAAGTTTTACGATTTTGTCTAGAATTGCAGTATTAATTAGTGCGCGTTCGGCTCGGTAATGACATTCGTTCGCTACAATGATTCGGTTTCGTTGTATAAGGTGTAAGAGTCGCGTCTGTAAGTGTAAGAACCAACGCACAAGCACATATGTAACATGTTAAGTTTACGGATTTCTTTGTGCGTTGACTTAAGTTTAATTTTACGTACAGATATGGCCATTGCATTGTCAGTACTTAATGTAACGTAACATGTTACGGATGTGCTTGTGCGTTGGCTCTAAGAGCCAACATTGCTGTGACATTTGAATTACATAGAATATGTATTGCTTTACATGACTCTTTTCGAAGCTTGGCTATATAGGTAATTTGTGGTATCACTGGTCAAAGCGTGAAACGTCCACATTTTTTAAAGAAGCTAACTATTATATAATGTATATATTATGAGTGATTGAAAGTGTTTGTATATATGTGATATGAAATAATAAATACACACGTACGTATACAGTGTACACGATACTGACTCAATTTTGATAGTGTCACATTGTTGCGGTCGAGAATACATAAAAGTATTTCATTCAAAGCAAATTGTATGACTAGCACGAAATATTTCATATTATTGTTAGGAACCTATTTTAGTCCAGGGACTACTTGCTTTGTGTCCACACTGTGGCTACAGTTCGCTTTACTTCCACCAATGTGAATAATGTAATACAAAATTTATTAAGAACAATGTTGTCATGTCATTTTCAAGTCACACTGAAAGCGGCTTGCGGCCATCTTAATGTGCCATATATTTTAATTACTAGTACCAATTTCTTTCTTTGTTCTTGTAACAAATGTAAACATACATTTCGATTATACAAAGTCTTTACAGATGTTCTACAAAATGAACAACAAACGAACTACTACGAAATTGGAGAGAATAGAACGAGATGGTTCTACATGCAAGCGCACCAAAAGAAAGGATAAATCTGCAGTTTCCAAACCAAAAGTTATTAATAAAGAGCCAGGTACGATATATATATATATATATATATATATATATATATATATATATATAATAACTATAAAACAATATATATATATATATATATATAATATATATATATACATATATATTAAATATAAATTTAATAACAAGATCGAATTTCATAGAGGTATGTAATAATCACAACTTTATAGATAGGACGCCATTACCAGCTACTGCTCTACAATGCCGAACTGTCATAATAGGATCTTATAAATATATTCCACGAGAAAGAGTAGTAATTTTTCGAAGTGGTGTAAGATTTGAAGTACCTTTACTAGAAGACGGTAGATCGTTTTTGCATTCACTGCCTGCTGGGAAAAAAATTACCAAGTCTTTTAAAATATTTTCGTATATTTCAGATCAAGATTTTGTTACTTTTAATGTGGAATATAAGGAAATAATTAAGGTGCTGATTCATTTTGGGGAAACATTACCGGTATTATTTCTCTATACGTCTAGGAGTTCGGGAGCCATGATACGTGAATTATTAGGAATGCAAGATCGGAAGGGCCCATATTACGATCCTGCCGGAACAGGTATTTATTGCGTAGAAGAATACGAAGAATTCTTTAAAAAAATATTATTTTAATATTATTATTTACTTATTCTCTTTGCCAGTTTTAAATGATATAAATGTGTACGCGTTGATCAACTCTTTGAGTGCTGCGATCGTATACAGATTGCATTGTATATGTATTATTGCTAGCTCAAGGCTTGATATTATCAATTGATCACGCACAATACTGCGCTATTTTGCACTCAAAGAATTATAAACTCAATGATAGGTTTAGTAAACAAGAAAAACAGTGAATATTTTATAATTTCATTATCTTCTAGATCACACTCACAGACGTATAACTTTATTGCCAGAGGAATTAACGAATGACTCGAAGATCAAATTAAAAAATATATTCTCACCTAGAGGCAAGATGGAGGAGTTGAATCCTAAAGAAGCAAATGATATTCTTCTGCGAGCTTTACCTAAGGATGTATGTGTTCGATTTGATAGCATTTTAAATCATTATCTATTACAACATATACGTAATGTTTATATTTATGTATTCTTTTATTCGCAGAACCAACAGATCACTAGTATTATACGACGACAGAGCCAAAGTTCGCTGCTGAATATTGTCAGTGACGATGGTAGCATACAAACGTAAGAAATTTTTCCTCACTGATCAATTTCTACTCACTTGAGCTCATATTCTAAATCCTCTTTTATCTATAAAAGTGCCTCTAAAAGAGGCTTAAGAGCCATCTGATTGGCTGAGAAGCTACATTTAAGAGAAGGCACATTTATCGATAAAAAAGGATTCAGAATATGGGCCTTGGCATCTACGTGTTTTTTACTATTTCACATTATTCGAGTCTGCTTTGTTGAAATGTATTTGAACGCAAAAACTTTCCGCTTTTACAGAATAACTGTGTATCCACCGCCACCTGCAAAAGGCGGTATAGCCATCAACACTGAAGATTACTTGTGCCTCGCTGAGGATCAGTATTTAAACGATGTGATTATAGATTTTTATTTAAAGTATTTGACTTTCGAAATACTGTCAGAATCTGACCAACATAGGACTCATGTGTTCAGTTCGTTCTTTTATAAACGTTTAACCAGCTCACATGCCCAAGCTGCCGAAAATGCTATACCAATGACACCTGCTGCCAAGCGACACGCAAAAGTACAGATGTGGACGAAGAATGTTAATATATTTGAGAAGGATTTTATTATAATCCCTATCAACGAGCAGTAAGTGAGACTTTGAATGTTCAATAATATATATATATATATATATATATATATATATATATGCATACATACGTATATATATATGTGTGTGTCGGAGAGAAAAGTATATCTGAAGCCGGAGTTTGCTGAGCCAGGACTCGAACCCGGGTTTTTCGCTTGCAGGGCGACTGCTCTAAACCACTGAGCTACCCAGGCTCTCGCTCCAACACACTCTCTCTCTCGTCTTCTTATTGATGTTATTGTCAAGATACAGCTTGTTACTTCAGTTCGGTTTATATCCTACATGTATATATATATTCCAATGAGATATGCAGTTTTATATGACAACATGATGTTGTTTGCAGAGCGCATTGGTTCTTAGCTATTATTTGCTTTCCTGGACTAGTTGGGAAAGTTGACATTTCTGCCCCGAGTGTCAGTGAAAACGATGTTAAAATTCCGCAAAAGAGCAAAAAGATGAAGAAGGTAAAAACGAAAGCTGTTACGATTGGCTATACAACAATAACACCTGCAACTATAACGATAGATCAACCGAATGACGGATCGGAGAGAGACGAGGCTGAGGGCGATGATGAACCAATGGAAATAGATAGCAATGAAGAAGTACAATACAAAATAAATTTTATTCTTTTCTGTTTTTGGATAGTTGAAATAGTCGATTCTTTTTTTTTTATTATTTTATTATTTTATTTATAGGAAGAGGTTGATCAGCCTGTACAAGATATAATTCAGCCGTTTAAAGTGAAACCGGATGTTGTAGAAGAAACAATTAAAGTGTAAGAGTTATGCGCATTACGTAATCTAAATGCAATTTATTGCACGCTCAATATTTGAGTAAGTTGAGTTTTAATTTAATTCAATCAATTTGATTTGTAGTCCCTGTATATTGATATTCGATTCGTTTGCTGGTGCCAGTAGGGCACGAGTGGTTGCTACATTAAGAGACTATTTAAGCTGCGAATACGTTGCCAAACTTGGAAGAGAACAAATCTTTTCAAAAGATACCATTAAGGGTGCATGCCCCAAAGTACCCCAACAATCGAATTTAACTGATTGCGGCTTGTACGTACTGCAATACGTGGAAAGTTTCTTTCAGGTTAGTAAATTGTAAATTATTTCTTTTGCATTACCACAAGTTATTAGCTTGACTAATAGCTTCAATCAACTTCTGTTTTCAGAATCCAATTAAAAATTATACGTTACCAATTAAGACTTTAAATACGTGGTTCGAAGAGATTGTCGTGACAAGGAAAAGGGAAGAGCTATCGAAACTACTCATTAAGTTGATGAATGCCACCAAAGGAAATAGAACTATCCATTTGCCTAGTGTGAATTTTCCTACGCAAGACGGCAAACTGAAACCGAAGAGTGAAAATCAGATAGACGTGAAGGTAACGAAATCGGAGCTTGAAAATAAAAGAAAGCCTACGGCTGACGCGGACACACATATTAACATGTCGGTAGTGGCAGAAAGTACTGAATCGAATAATGAAGTAGTTAATAGAACTTTCCAGATCATTCCTTATTCTCCGTATATAAGTTCTGACAGCAATGCAACAGAAATATTGACCGAGCCGAAGCTAAGCCGAAGACCAAGCTGGTTGATTTTTATAATCAACTAAAGTTATCACCCGCGATATCACAAATTACAGCCATGCTACTAATCCGATCTTATTTCCTTGTGGCCTTTGTCCATTCCTCTATGAATATTTTGACCTTCTCTAGAAAGAAATATATTCCCGTGTTGAACAGAATGCAATACGACTAAGAGCTATATATAATTTCATTCATATTTTCTCATACATTTGAATATATTTATCACGGCTAATATGTCGAATATTTTATCAATTTTCAGGTCGTCAAGTAAAACAATGTCCTGCCTTAAATCTAAAAGATTTCCAGGTTAATGTTAAGAACGCAGACTTCAGACGATCCTCAAGCTGCAAAGAAGCATAAAGGGGAACCTTTTAATTCCTGTAAATAAATGTTATTTTCTTTTTTTACAGTGATAAGGTTAATGTTAATCCGCATAGATAATTCATTTATCATGTAATAGGAAATGTAGTTAATACTTTATAAAGTAAATAAAACTACAAACATAATTCCTGATTGTATATTTGATACTTTTTAATTGAAGTTTACATGTATTTTGTATAACGAGTGATTTGGTACTGTTGTCAAGCATCGGCGTATCCCGAGGACACGCATCTCGAGGACGTGTTCCTGAGTAACAAGTCGTTGCGTACAATTATCAGTCTTGATAAATAACCATTGTGTATAAATCCTATCAAAACTTTATTAATAAATATAAATTAGATTATTTTGCATAAAAATTGATGTAATTTTGAAACGATGTAATTTTGATAAATTTATTTCTCAAAATTACAAGTAGACCGTAACAAAAGGATTTCATATAAAATCACTGAAATTACATTAATATTCACAGTCTATTTTAGCTAAAGTACGACTAAAGTTACAATACAAATATTTCGGCCGAAACCAGAAATCCTTAACTTTCTCAAATTTGTTTTAACGGAAACATCTATTTATATCAATATAACTACAAGGCTAGTAACGTGTTTTAAAATCCTAATGTTATTGTCTTTATGAAATGTTATATATGCAAAAAATTTGAAAACTCAAAACAAAACGTTATCTTGTCTAATCGCAAGGCTAATATAAAAGTAACGTATTAATCGTGACATTACTTTTGAGATATATAACTGTGACAACCTTTATTGTCAACAATATTCTTGGCTTTCTCTCTCTCTATAGAAGTATATCGTCAAGTCAAGCTCGACTAGGATATTCCTTATGTAATTTTACCTTTTTAGTAATTTCTCTGTAGAGAAATTGTTTGTTTAAACCCTTTCGTTGGATCTACATTGATACATTGCAAATTCAAACAATAGGTACGTAAAATCTTATATTACGTCAAAGAGAATAAAATTCTTAATAAAAGCGAAATATTGTTGAGTCACTCCAACGAAAGGAAAAGTTAATGCGATTCCATCAACACATCATAAGAGTTACATTTATTTATATATTATTTTTATATATTCACATATTATCTTAACTATATAGAAATATCTTATCTACATAATTAATAATTTAATTATGTTACTATTTTTATAATAAACTGTATTTAATTTAATAAAATCGATTTTGTTTAAGTAGCACATCTTTTAATAAGATAATGGATAAATTATTGGACGAAGTACATGTATCAATAGGATTATTTTATGGAATATTAATAATAATAACTACGCTTTACGGAAATTTACTAACAAGGAGACTTTTAGAACTACTAATCTCGATAGAACTAAGTTTAATTAACTACGACTTTATTATTAAATGTACATATCTATGTTGAACATCTTTATAAATTTATGTTTTCATAAATATATCCATGCAATTTCGTACAATCTACTTTAACTGACTGGTAACCGTTAAATTTGTTATAAAAATGGGATTTAAACACTACTCATTTTTTAAATTTCTTTTATATATTTTTGTTTTCTAATTTTTGTATGTTAGATTTATTGTATATTATTCTTAGTATGATTACTGTGTATGGGTGCCTTGATTAAGATTTTCTATCCTGTTTTTTATTACGTTAAAAAAGCATTTTATGTTATTTCAAAAAAAAATATATATATATATATTTTTTTTAAAGAAATGTCATACTTATTTTTTTCAGTAATAACATTTTATTTTTGGCCACTGGATTATTTAATATATGTTATAATATGGGTTGCTTTACCGGGTCTAATATCAATATCTGATATCATATTCGACGTAGAAGAGTCCCCTAATGTAATATTAGAATATATGATAGTAAACAAGCATATGCGCTTCGGTGGTATTATTTCAATATTTATTCAAATTCTCGGCGATTATCTTGCATTTATATTTGGGCCTGTGTTATTGTTCTGTTTTGGATACAAATATGTCCCATCAAGATGCTTTTCAACATTTTATAAAGTAAGTTTAATAATTATTTATAGTAGAATATAATTTCTTCTTCCATAGATAGATAGTATTTCCTAGTGAAAAAATTTTAGAATACTATATGTAACTTTTTACAATATGCGAACTTTTGATTCATTAAAAAGCTTTTTCATAGTTTTTCTTATTAGACGAAATTTCATAAGAGCCTCGACAAATATGACCAGTTTATAATTTATTTAAGTATTTAAGTTTATAATTTAAATATTTTAAGTTTATAATTTATTTAAGTATTCTTTGATTTTTTCTCCAGATCAATATTTTTTAATACATTTTAAACATTTAGATAGGATGTCAAATTGGTATCAAACATGAGCTGCGTTTATAAAAACTTATTAAATATAAATTGTATAAATTATATATACAAGGTGTCTCATATTCTCCTCTGGGCATTTTGTGGGGATGTAGAACAGGTTGAGGTGAACATAAAAGTTCTATACCGTTTTGCGATATTCGCAATAATTATCGAGATATTAATTGTAGAAAACTTGTAAATGATCATGCAGAATATGATAAATGAGTTATAGTAGCGACGACTGCCGTCGTGTACTTATAGGTCAAATTGAACAAAAAAGTCTTCTACCATTTTCCAAATAATCACATAGATTTTCAATTATTAATTAAAGAAGATTATTGCACGATTTTGCGTGATAATTCATCTCCTTTAATTAGTAATTAAAAGTCTATGTGATTATTTGCAAAATAGTAGAGGACTTTTTTGTTCAATTTAACCTAAAGTATAAGTACATGACGGCAGTCGTCGCTATTATAACTCATTTACCATATCCTGCATAATTATTCACAAATATTCTACAATTAATATCTCGAGAATTATCGCGAATATCGCAAAACGATATAGAACTTTTATGTTCACCTCAACCTATTCTACGTCCCCAAAAAATGCCTGGAGGAGAGTGTGAGACACCCTGTATATATATATATAATTTATAGATTTGTATCTAATAATTTTTAAATATATATATATATATTTTTTTTTTGTTTAAAAAAAATATATATAGAGTATCCTATTACTACCGCATTATCTCTTAAGGACGGATTCCTGAGATAAATAATTTGAAGAAAAAAATCCTAATACAAAAATGTCGAGACTATAATACTTTTCAAACGATTAAAGTTGATCAATTATACTGGCTAAAGTACGCGCGCTCAGGTACGATACAACACACAGTTGCATGCATATGTCGTCCCTTTTCTATATATTGATACGGAAGTTCTATACATACAACAATATATACAATATATACAATATATATATATATATATATATATATATATATATATATAATAATCTGCTTTTTCTATCATTTAAATAAACATAACGTAAATAATAACAATCTTGTCAAAATGTTATGAATAAAATATCACATAATTCATTTATGAGAATTAGTAGGCTGTCACACATTTGACGTTTCTTTCAGTGATTTACAACTAATTTCATATCTTATGCAAATTCTCACTTATGTGCATGCATCTGTACCATTGTGTGTTGTACCGTACCTGAGCGCGCGTACTTTAGCCAATATAATTGGTCAACGTTAACTTTAATTGTTTATAATTTTAAAAGTATTATAGCCTCGACATTTTTGCATTAGGATTTTTTTCTTCTAATTATCCCAGGAATCTGTCCTTAAGATATCTCTTAAATATCAGGCGATAGTGGCGGTATATATTTTTGTTTAGGCAAAAAACAAACGAAATCTAAACGAACTTAGTATGTCTTTTTCAGTATTCTTCATAATTAAGAAATAAAGAGCTCTGAAAAATTTTTAGATCCTTTATGAAAAGTTTTCTTCTTCTACATTATTATTAAACAATATCCTTTAAATAATGCACACACTTATGAAATTTGTACGTTATCGCGTATAGTCATATAATACGTTTTTTTCATTAATATCTAAAAATCTATATGGTTATTTGCAAAATGATGAAGAACTTTTATATTCAATTTGATTTAATGTACAAGTAAATATTATATTTTATGGAAAGCATTTTATGATATACACATGTATATAAACATGTAGCATATACACAAATTTTAATATTAATTTCAATATAAATATATGTATATAATTTAATTTTAATATAAATATATGTATATAATACAGCATGTCACATTCTACCTTTAGAAAAAATTACTTTAAGTTGTTTAAATTAACTTAAAGTTGTTTAAAGTTATTTAAAGTTATTTATACTTAACTATAAATAACTTTAAATAACTTTAAGCAATTTTAAGTTAATTTGAACATCTTAAAGTAATTTTTCTTAAGGGTATATACAAACCTCTTCATGGATAATTTAATGTAATTTTACTGTTAATGTGATATATATAACAATTTTTAGAGTAATGCGATGCATACATTTGTTTTGGAATGGCTGTTGACTATAATTCATAGACTATCAGTTTATATTGTAATAAGAATCAGCAGACATCTATCTGAGGAATATTTGACACTTATATCATGTACTCTGCTGGCATTTTTTAGGATTGTAGGTTAGAAAATATTAAAAGATGTCCTTGTGGTTTTTTATAAATAAGATATACTATTTTTTAATATTCTACAAATAATATGCATTTCAGGATATGTATTCATCGGCAGTTTAAACAATCCAGCGTTAGGTGCTTCTCTGAGAATCAGTTGTTCAGGAATTCGTGACTATCACAGTCTATTAGTTTATTGGGTTGCTCCGTTTTGTGGATCTCTTTGCGCCTTATTTTTATTGTATTTATGCAAACAAGTCGCAGACTTGTACGTAACATCTGAGCCAGTTTCCGATACCGGAATTCACCTTACACTTGAGGATATCAGATATAAGGTGAGTTATATATTTAAATCATTATAATAATTATATATTTAAATAATAAAGTTATCTATTATATTATATTAATGAATATATATTTATATTTTCGTTACATATAGAATTCAAGAAATAGTAATTCGTTATAGATGCATCAAAGATTTGAACGTGTACATCCCTGGTCAATTAATGTATGTCCCCGGTCGATTAATATTCCTTTTAAACTATATATGTTAGCAATTTAATTTTAAAATAATGCACTATATTAAAAGGAACAAAAATAAAATTAACAATATAAGATATTTAACAATGTATGCAATAATATACTATAATATATAATACTATTGCATTTATCATAAATAATTTTAAGCTTGCAATCTGGATTAAATGAGAGATAAATGACCAATTGTTTTTTATTGTTAAAAGAATATGCCTTGGTACAATTATTAATATAATTATAGAAAAGTTAGTTATTAGCATAATTATAGAAAGTTAGTTCTTTTTACTTGCATCTGAGAAATATATTTTAATATATTATATCTTTTATACGCAAAAAATGTATATTTTAATACATTTTTTACCGTGGTTTATTTAGCTCTCTCCACAGACAACTTTATATTTACTTTTTTATATAATTATGTAAAATAGATTTAGTTTGATAAACGTTTAATGAACGTAGAGAGAGAAATTATTATTGTCACATATATGTAACGCTTGTAAAAAAACGTTGTGTCACACATATTTGACAGTAGCAACGGTATTAATACATGCAAATATAAATATATTTATATACAAACGTTCATATATGTATATGTATATGTATCTAAATATATTTATACTTATATACATATATATATGTCTTCATACATGTATATGTATTCAAATATTATGCAATACTACTGTGATTTATTACGCAATACAATATATTGAAATATCATGCAATTGGTCTTAGTTAAGGTAATATTGTTGAAATTGCTGTAATGCGTTTACTTATTATTAGCGATTGGTAAATTGAACGACGTTCAACGTCTTAATGCATGTATAAAACATGATATATGTACGACATAAATCGTATATTTTATAATGATACATTTTATATAGGAATAGTATTTTTTAAATAAAGTTTTTAACCTATGTAATTTCGACAAAATTATTTCCCAAGGTTACAAATGAGTTGTATAGAAATTACATTATAAAAAATTAGCATGATTCGTTTATAATTGAATATACATGAAAATTGCTGTCAAATTATGTGCATGATATCAAAATCTGAAATCAGCGGAATTATATGCAATATTGATGATATTTCGATTTTGGTAAAATGCATTTCCCGAATATTATTTCTCATATTTCATATCTGCATACCAACTATTAACAGCCGTTACGAACAATATTAATCGTATTGCTGAAAATGATATGCTGTCATAATTACAATGTGAAGGAGCACACAACCGTTGCGCAGTGTTATGAAGAGTCTGTTTTCGTAGAAAAAAAATCGTCTTATGAGACGTAACATACAAAGTTTTCTTCTTGTAAACTAAAAATATAAAATTTGTAATATCATAACGTGCATAAATAACACAAATTTTTTTATCAAATACTGACCTGACAATACCAGAAATTAGAATGAATTAAAAGAATTATCGTGTAAAACTGTACCTATGTCAAAAACTTATGGTATATTAGCACTGAACAGTTGAATTCATACTTACGAGTACAATTTTGTTACACATAGAAATCCGTTTTGGACGACAAATTTGACCGCTTCGTTCTTATACATCTCGATACTTTGCAACATGACAGAAAAGCGAATTATCGACGCGTTGCTTTATGAAATCAATAGGATTTTACTAACAAGAATAATTGGCTGCGTTGAACAAAGAAAACTGTTTTGTAACTATTGTAAAATTTAAAAATCTGATTATTTTTTATTATATGCTGTTAGATTCACTTAAAATTAAAAACAGCCAGATTCACTAATTTTACAACAGTTGCAAGTAGCTTTCTCTGCTGAGCACAGCCAATTATCTTTATTTCCGTTTTATTTCTCTTTTATTATTTATCAATTGTGATTTTTATTAACCATTTGTTATAAAGATATCTCGTTGCGCATAGTGGCTTACATTGTTTTTCTCTCGTTCTGTGGGAATTTTTGCTTACGTGCTATGAAAAAGTAATAGCCAGCTGCGGTATTCAGTCGGAACACAGCGTTGAATGCACGTTTCCACTCATCCCGTCGATATTTGTATTCAAGTTCTGGACTTGCTGCTTATGCGTGATTTTGAGTTTCTCCTTCTCACGACTCTGTTTGATCTGTGCACAGTCTTCCTCCCCTCATAAACTTTTTCGTGTCCTGCTGCTTCTTGTCGTGAAGCTGTCGATCTTTGTCACCTTTTGTTTTCAATGTCTTGTCGTTCATCATTTCCTTGGCCGTTTCCACGAACGCTTTCGTCTAATTGGTATTCATATCCTTAATGTCCCTGCAACGTTCACGTGATTTCACTTGAGCTACATGGCGAAAGGAAAATTGCAATTTTCGTTACACGCGTGGATCGATCAACGGCGGATCGCAACCGAATGAAATTACGCCTGGATGAAGTTACGTCGGAATAAAGTTGCGTCGAACGAACTTGTCCTGTTTCGTCTGCATCTGCTTCACCTGCGAGGCTTGCACAACTTCGATCAACCTCTTTAATTCGTCGTGCCAGCTCTACGTTTGATTCGTCAGCAATTCCCACTCTTCTTTCCACTGCTTTTCCATTATAGCGGACCATTGTGCTGCTTGCTCGCTTATAACTTTCTTCACGTTGGCGTCTTGCAACAGAGCGTTCTTGCTGAAAGTATTGAAAGTACAAAATTTCGCGAACTGACCACCGACCGGAATTATGATCAAAGTTAGCAGGGTGATGTCAAACTGTCAACTGGGGAAATATACTCTTTGCCTTTTGTCAGCTTCTCGATAGCGCTGCAGTGATTCTTCTGCGTCGTTTGTCTCTCCTTTGTATGCTTCTTTCTCATGGTGTCTAGCTTCTTCTCATGCTTATTGCCCGGCTTGAAAGCTTTCTCTTTCTTCAACGAGTCCAAATGTGATGGGCTCCAGTTTCAGCTCCTCTGTCGGAATCGCACAACAAGGATTGCCATTATAATGCGAAATTATTACACGAATCACTTGTTATGCGGAGAATTCATATTCCGACGTACCTCTCTTCGTTCCCCTGTTATGTGACTCGATGTCACTCTTGATCGGACTTGGCAGTAAGAAAAAGAAAAAATTAGTATATATATGTTTGACAGAGATAACTTCCATCAAAATCATCTTTTCTTCGTCTCTTCTTCCTTTTTCTTCTTAGTTTCCACCTTGTATCCGTCTGCTCTATTTCTAATCTCTTCATCCTTTTTTGTTAGTTTATACACAAGCAATGTGTCCTTATCAGTGTATCCTTAACAATAGGAATTGAACGACATGCCCCAAGTGCCTCGAGAGAGAATGTATGCCATGTGTACTGGTATGTATATAATTTTAATACTTGCTAAAGTGATTGGCAGTTTAGTTACATTAATGCTTATGCATATATTATGGATATTAGAAATTTACAGTTTATTGAAACTAAGTACATACACGGATTTCTGTAAAATATTTCATCAAGTAAATCCAATAATATGTTATTATAAAATACGATTTATTTCGCATTATGTAAGTGAAAGAAAGTTCTTGGTAAAATATATCCTTAAAATTCTTGTAATTCTAGGAAAAATTTTTAAACATTTTCATGGTATTTTTAAATTTTTATTTATACAAATTGAACCATATTTTTCTCCAAAATATTCCAACAGAAAAATTATAAACAATATTTTTCAATATTCGCAGATTTCTTCCAAATAAACATTTCTGAGAACATTTAAGATATTTTGATAAAATTTCAAATTTGCGTTAATTATGAGCTTTGATAAATAACAATTATGTATAAATCCTATCAAAACTTAATAAATTTAAATTAGATTGTTTTGCATAAAAACTGATGACAACGTAATTTTGATAAAATTATTTCTCAAAATTATAAGTAGACCGTAACAAAAAGTATCTCATATAAAATCACTGAAATTACATCAATATTCATTGTCTATTTTAGCTAAAGTACGACTGTTACAATACAAATATTTCGGTCCAAACCAGAAATCTTTTACTTTTTCAAATTTGTTTTAACGGAAACATCTATTTATATCAATACAACTACAAGGCTAGTAACGTATTCTAAAATTCTAATGTTATTGTCTCTATGAAATGTTATATATGCAAAAAGTTTGAAAATTCAAAACAATATATTATCTTGCCTAACCGCAAGACTAATATAAAAGTAACATATTAATCGTGACATTACTTTTGAGTTATATAACTGTGACAACCTTTATTGTCAACAATATTCTTGGCTTTCTCTCTCTCTATAGAAGTATATCGTCAAGTCAAGCTCGACTAGGATATTCCTTATGTAGTTTTACCGTTATACCTAGTAATTTCTCTGTAGATTTTGTTTAAATCCTTTCGTTGGATCTACATTGATACATTGCAAATTCAAACAATAGGTATGTAAAATCTTATGTTACGTCAAAGAGAATAAAATTCTTAATAAAAGCGAAATATTGTTGAGTCACTCCAACGAAAGGAAAAGTTAATGCGATTCCATCAACACATCATAAGAGTTACATTTATTTATATATTATTTTTATATATTCACATATTACCTTAACTACACAGAAATAACTCATTTACATAATTAATAGCCTAATTATGTTACTATTTTTATAATAAACTGTACTTAATTTAATAATACTGATTTTGTATTTGTATTTGTTGTAGTAGCATATCTCTTAATCAGATATGGACGAAGTAGATTTACCAATGATATTATTTTATGCAATATTACATATAATAATAATGTTATACGGATATTCAATAAAGGTTAAACTAATTTTAGTACTATTAACCTCGATACAACTAAGTATGCTAAATTACGAAATTATTGGAGGTATATATCTATACAGAACATTTTTATAAATTTATTTTTTCATAAATATATCTGTGCAGCTTCGTACAATCAACTTTAACTGATTAGTAACCGTTAAATTTGTTATAATAATACTTAGGACTTAAACACTACTAATTTTTTAAATTTCTTTTATATATTTTAACTTTTTCAATTGTTACATTTCCAATTTTTATTTTTACTCTTCCAATTTTTGAGTGTTAAATTTATTGTATATTATTTTTAGTATGATTATTGTGCATGGGTATCTTAATTAAGATTTTCTATCTTGTTTTTCATTATATATATATACGTTAAAAAACAATTTATATAATTTTAAAAGTATATTTCATTTTTTTAAAGAAATGTCAAATTATTTTTTTCAGCTAGAACAAAGTTTATGCAAATATTTTATGTATCTCGTATGGTTTTATCATTAATAACTTTGAATCTATGTTGGGTCAAAATAGAATGGTCCCCTAATGCAATACTAGAATATATGATAATAAACAAGCATATGAGCTTTTATAATATATTTTTAATATTTACTCAAATCTTCGGCGATTATCTTGCATTCATATTTGTGCCTATAATGTGGTCCTATTTTGGATACAAACAATCATTAAGTTGCTCTACAATGTTTCATAAAGTAAGTTTAGTAGACATTAATAGAATACAATTTCTTTTTCCACAGATAGAAAGTATTTTCCAGTGAAAAAAACTTTAGAATATTATATGTAACTTTTTACAATATGCAAATATTTGATTTGTTGAAAAGCTTTTTCATAATTTTCCTTAGTAGAAATTTATAAGAGCCTTGACAAATATGACTTTATAATTTATTTAAATATTCTTCTTTCAATCAAAATTTTTTAGTATATTTTAAACATTTAGATAGAATGTGAAATTGGTATTAAACATGAGCTGCGTTTATAAAAAATTATTAGATACAAATTCTAAATTATATATATGGGGCATTCTCTGTCAACCGGACATCCTTCTCTGCCTAAAATTCCTTCCATTAAAAAAAAATCGTGCGATAGCTCAAATTGAAGCTTGAAGCATCTAGTTTCCAATGTCACATGGCACTTATTGAAATTGTCACATATAGATGCCATTATGGTACCATAAGAGCTTCTGCGTTTTTCTGATATAGTTTACTAGTTACACAGTATTATGGTACCATAACACCATATTGGCACCATATTGGCATATCGTAGGTATTTATCATGTTCCAGATTCGTGCGTTCCAAAAACCCTAAAGCAGAAATTTCTAAACCATTCTTTTGAAAATTTGAGGAGTTGTACAGTACCATGGCACCATGCCATCATATTGGCACCATATTGTCAGATTCCATTATTTTATGTTCCGTATGTATTTAGCAACACCGAAAACTTCTTAGCAGTGATTTCCAAGCCGTCAAGACTGTCCTTGCTTTAATCATAGAATTCACGAGATTCCATATGAGATTGACCTTATGGTACCAGAATGGCACCTATATGTAAGAATTTCAAAAAGTGCCATGTGGCACTAAAAACTAGATGCTTCAAGCTTTAATTTGAGCTATTGTTTTTTTTTATGGAACGAATTCTGGGGGTGTCCGGTTGACAGAGAATGCCCCATATATATTTTTTCGCTTAAAAAATATATATTTTCTTAGACAAAAAATTTACGAAATCTGAACAAACTTAGTATGTTTTTCTCAGAATTCTTCATAATTAAGAAATAAAGAGTTGTGAAACATTTCTAGGTCCTTTACGAAAAGTTTTTTCTTCTAGATTATTATTAAGCAAACTTCTTTAAATAACACATACGCTTATGATATATAAATATGTAGCTTATACACACATTTTAATATTAATTTTAATATAAATTTATGGAATTCACACGCATAACATGTCGCATTCTAATATATACAGAGCTATTACTTCATGCAGTTAATTTTAATGTAATTTTACTATTAATTTGATAAATATGATAATTTTTAGAGTCATTGGATGGACGCATTTGTTTTGGAATGCTTATTGACTATAATTCATAGACTATCAATTTATTATGTAGTAAATTTCAGCGAACGTCTATCTAAGATTTGGTTTACAATTATATCAAGTATTTTGCTGATACTTTCTATATTTATAGGTTAGATGTTATACAATATCCTTATTCTTTTTTTTAAACATGATATACTATTTTAATAATATTTCACAAATAATATGTATTTTAGGATATTTTTTGGTCGGCAGTTTCCACAATCCAGCGTTAGGAGCTTCTCTCAGATTCAGTTGTTCAGGACTTCGTGACTATCACAGTCTAGTTCATTGGGCTGCCCTGTTTTGCGGATCTCTTTGTGCCTTGGTTATATTGCGTTTATGCAATCAATTGGCATACTACATAGCATCTAGATTAGATACCAGAAATACCAGAAATTACATTGTATTTAAGGATATCAGATATGAGGGGTGAGTTATATATTTAAATTATTATTATAACATTACATGTTTAATGTAAATTATTATAATAACATTACATGTTAAATTACATGTTTAAATAATAAACTTATCTATTATGTTATATTAATAAATATATATTTATATTTTCGTTACATATAGAAGTCAACAAATAATAATTCGTAAATGCAGTATAGATTTGAACGTGTAGATTCCCAATGGAATAATGTTCTTTTAGACAGCATAGATGGTAGTAATTCAATTTTGGAATAATGTACTATATTAAAAGGAACAAGAATGCAATTAACAATATAAAATATTTGATAATGTATGCAAAAATATATAATATTTATATAAATATTATAAATAATTATATAAATGGGTTTATTATAAATAATTTTAAGTGCTTGCAATCTAGATTAAATGGGAGAAATAAATGATCAATTGTTTATTATTGTTAAAAGAAAATGTCCTCGTACAATCATTAGTATAATTGTAGAAAGTTAGTTTTACTCACATCTGAAATATATTTTAATATATTATATGTTTTATATAAAAATGTATACTTTAACATATTTGTTACTGCGATTTATTTAAATAACTCTCTCCACAGACCATTTCATATTTTCTTTTTTATATAATTATGTAAAACAGATTTTGTTTGATAATATGAACGTAGAGAGATAAATTATTATTGTCATATATATGTAATAACGGTAAAAAACGTTGTCACACATATTTTACATTAGTAGTGAACGTATTAATACATGCAAATATAAATATATTTATATACAAGTGTTCATATATGCATATATAAATATATATATAAATATAAATATAAATATATCTAAATATATTTATACTTATATACATGTATATGTATCAAATATTATGCAATACTACTGTGATTTATTATACAATACAATATATTGAATACTACCGTAATTTATTATACAATACAATATATTGAAATATTATTCAATTGGTCTTAATTAAGGTATATTGTTAAAACTGCTGTAATGTGTATGTATGTTTATTTATTATTAGCGATTTATTATTGATAAATTGAACAACGTTCAACATCTTAATAGATGTATAGAACGTGATATATGTACGACATAAATGTCATGTATATTTTATGATACATTTTATATAAGAAAAGTATTTTTTAAATAAAGTTTTTAACCTCTATGTAATTTCGACAAAATTATTTTCCTTATTATTTTATTACAGTTACCAGTAGGTTGTATAAAAATTACATTATAAAAAACTATCATAATTTATTTATAACAGAATATACATGAAAATTGCTATCACGTTATCAATATGATATCAAAATCTGAAATCAGCGGGATTATAAACATAATTGATGATATTTCGACTTTTGCAAGTTGAATTTCCCGGATATTATTTCTCATATTTCGTATCTACATACCACGAAGAGCGTGTTTTCATAGAAAAAGCTGTCTTATGAGTACGTAACATAAAAAAGTAACATTTTCTTCTTGCAAACTAAAAATATAGGGTCTGAAATATCATAACATGTACATGTAATAAATAACACAAATTTTTTATCAAACACTGACTTCACAGTTCCAGAAATTGGAGCGAATTAAAAGAATTATCATATAAAATCGTACTTATTTTAAAAACTCATATTTTTCACGATATATTAGCACTAAACAGTGGAATTTATAGTTACGAATACAATTTTGTTACACGTAGAATTCCGTCTTGGACGATAAATCGTACTCGACCGCCTCGTTCTTGTACATTTCGATACCCTGCAACATGACAGAAAAGCGAATTATTCGACGCGTTGCTTCATGAACTCAATAGTAATTTTACTAACAAGAATTATTAGCTGTGTTTAGCACAAAAAACTGTTTTGTAGCTATTGTAAAATTTATGAATTTGATTATTTTTTATTATATGCTATTAGATTCAATCAAAATTAAAAACAGCCAGATTCATTAATTTTGCAACAGTTGCAAAGAAACTTTTTTGCTAAGCACAGCCACTTATCTTTTTATTTCCGTTTTATTTCTCTTTTATTATTTATCAATTATGATTTTTATTAACTATTCGTTGTAAATGATATCTCATTGTGCATAGTAGATCACGTTGTCTTTCTCTCGTTCTGTCGGAATTTTTATTTACGTGATGTGAAAAAGTAATACTCAGCCACGATATTTGGTCGGAACACAGCGTTGAACGCACGTTTCCACTCACCCCGTCGATATCCGTGTCCAAGTTCTGGACTTGCTGCTCATGTGTGACTTTGAGTTTCTCCTTCTCACGACCCTGCTTGATCTGCACGGTCTTCCTCTCCTCCATAAACTTCTTTGTGTTCTGCTGCTTCTTCTCGCGAAGCCGTCGATCCTTGTCGCCCTTTGTCTTCAAGGTCTTGTCATTCATCACCTCCTTGGCCGTTTCCACGGACGCTTTCGCCTGATTGGTATTCATGTCCTTAATGTCCCTGCAACGTCCATGTGATTTCACTTGAGCTACATGGCGAAAGGGAAATTGGAATTTACTTCGTTACACGCGTGAATCGATCAACGATTCGAACGGCGGATCGCAACCGAATGAAATTACGTCTGAATGAAGTTACGTCGGAATAAAGTTATGTCGAACGAACTTGTCGTGTTTCGCCTGCATCTGTTTCACCTGCGAGGCTTGCACAACTTCGATCAACCTCTTTAATTCGTCGCGCGAGCTCTGCGTTTGATTCTTCAGCAATTCCCACTCCTCTTTCCGCTGCTTTTCCATCATAGCGGACCATTGTGCTGTTTGCTCGCTTATAACTTTCTTCACGTTGGCGTCTTGCAGCAGAGCGTTCTTGCTGAAAGTATCGAAAGTACAAAATTTCGCGAAGCGACCACCGAACGGAATTACGATTAAAGTTAGTAGGGTGGTGTCAAGCTGTCAACTGGGGAAACATACTCTTTGCCTTTTGTCAGCTTCTCGATAGCGCTGCAGTGATTCTTCTGCATCGTTTGTCTCTCCTTTGTATGCTTCTTTCTCATGGTGTCTAGCTCCTTCTGATGTTTCTTACCCGGTTTGAAAGCTTTCTCCTTCTTCAACGAGTCCAACGTGATGGGCTCCAGTTTCAGCTCCTCTGTCGGAATCGCACAACAAGGATTGCCATTATATCAGTGCGAAATTGTATTACGCGAATCACTTGTTATACGGAGAATTAATATTCCGTCGTGACTCTCTACGTTCCTCTATCATGCGACTTAACGTCACTCTTAAGTTTGACTTAAGAGCTATAAGAAAAAAAAAAAAAAAATGGGTACATACATATCTGACACAGATAACTTCCATACCTTTCTTCGCCTCTTCCTCCTTTTTCTTCTTAGCTTCCGCCTTGGTATCCGTCTGCTCTATTCCTAGTCCCTTCATCGTTTCGGTCTGTTTCTCGGCGGCCTTGCTGAAGCCACCCGGATCCGACAAGGCGGCCATAAAGTCTGCAATCAGAAACGTGCTTGAACGAGGAAGAAAGAGAGAAGGAGAGACTGCGAAGCGGACTACGTTGCTATTTTTGAGTCGCGACTTTAGATGCTACCTTCAAATCCGTCGGGAACATAAATCTTTAGTTCTATGTTGCAAAAGAGCATAGGCAGCGCCATCGGAAAGTTCGCCTCAGTTTTCAAGGAGATATGTCTGTAGCCGGCCTGTAGACCGTCTAAGGGCAGGATTCGTTGTCCGAGCAATTTGCCGTTTTCCTCATATACACCTGTGTGTGAAATGGGAAGCACAATTTCAAAAGCAAAGAAATCACACAGAAAAATATTATCCTACTGTTGAGGAAAGAGAGAATATTTTTTCTCGGTTATATATAATCTTAGAAAATTAATAAAATAATTTGATAAAATATATCTATCACAGATATATCAAGATTTTAAAAATTCATTATGAGTTTCAGAAAAAATATTTATTCTTTTTACAAGAATATTAGAAAATTTTCTTGAAGAAAAAGTTGCTTTAATTCTATATTGCAAGCCGCGAATTTTTGTTTTAATTCAATATTCTTTTAATTAACATTGCTAAACTTGCTAGGATTAAAAATTATTTTGAATAAATTGAGTGGAAATTGATGATGAATTTGATAGAATTTACGAGGGTAAACTTACGAAATATTTGAAACAAATGACATTTACTTGAACACAGTTTGCATTTTTCTGTGTATCTTGAATAATTACAAGTGCATGTTTTACTCGCAAACTAGATGAAATCTATTTGAAATTTACGGTAAAAAGGGACACTTTGTTTTACTACAAAGAACGCTTTGAAAGAAGAAGAAAAATACAAGAGAAAAAAAATTGTCACAAACAGGATTTTTTTATACTTGGCCTGTGTGCGAAACACGAAATGTAAAAAGCATGATAAAAAGAAAGAAAAATATATACTTATCTACGAATTGGTATAATTCTCAATAATCACAAATATGTATTTTACTCGCGAGTGACATGAGATCTGCTTCAGATTTACGGTGAAGAAAAGTATATCATTACGAAAGAAAAAAGGAAATATTACACGATACCGAATCGGAGTACCGCCAGATCGGGAAGCACAACTTTCCGGAATAAGAATGGCTCCTCGTTGTAGACCGGATTCAAGCCGTTCGCCGGCACCATTCGTGTTCTGAATTCTTTCTTGATCGTGTCCGCCGGTAGACCGTACATATCCACCTCCACGTATGTGCCGATCTTTTTGTCCGACAGGAATTGCCCGGCTATAACCTGGACCGCGCATTGCGCGGTGATGATGCCGTCGACGTCCTCGGAAAAGGGGTCGAAGCTTCGATCCGGTCGGCGCATGAAGTCAGGCTTCAGCAGGTAGCCCGTTGTGCCGTTGTACTCGAATTTCCCCTGATTGAGTTGCATCGGTAGATCGGGGGTTTGGAAATTCAGCGCCACCATCTGGCAGCCGGCGTTCCAAAAGACCTGAAAATGAGAAGCGTGGAGTGATCGCGTCGCGTGGAGAGAGGCTCCATCGAGAATCCCGTTTTCTCTTTTTATCTTTCTCTCTCTTCCTCTTTCTCTTTCTCACGGCTACGGATAATCAGGGGTCACGGGAGATACGGGAGAGGAAAGAGATCGCGTGACACGGTCTGTACCAAACCGTTAGATCCACGGAGATACGTGAGTAATAACTTGGCATAGAATTTAAGCGCGCTCTGTATTATTGCAGATACCTGGGGCATGTAATTCGACGAATCAGCCCTCGTGCCCTTTGGATATATTCGACTCATTTGCCGCTTGTTGTAATTAACGAACTCCACGGAGTGAGTTTTCAGATAGTTAAGAGCGGCAGTCTCGGAGAACGAAGACATATTATGATGTATATTCTTGCCTGCAACGTCGGGGTTGAGACATTAGTACATGTCGCGCGTGCGACTCGCGTGCACGTGTACGCTCATTCATTTCACCCTTCTTAAGGCAATGTGACACACACACATATACACACACACATACATAAACACGCATATTGCCACCAGCTCTATTTCAATTATTTGCTTTAATTTATAATGCGTCCTTTTGCGCCAAACCCGATACGAAAAAGTAGCATTGTAAATGTGTGTTTACATTTTGTACATTTATATACATATTTTACGTTAATTTATATGTACTCTCTCTCTTTTTCTCTCTCTCTCTCTCTCAACTTTATATATTTATTATATAACTTTATTTTTATATATCATACAAAGTGTTGGATTTCGCTACGGAGGTAAATTAAGTCAAACAGAACACCGAACTCCTTTACCATTTTGTAAACAACCACGTAAAATCTAGAATTATTAATTAAAAAGTGACTAGTGAGCGATTGCTCATTATGCGGTACACAAACTGTAACCGCGACACATGTTGTCGTGTGTGCTTGTGGATTAGATCAAATTAAACAAAAAACTTCTCTACTATTTTATAAATAACACGTAGATTTTTTATATTTTAATTAAAGAAAATTGTTAAAAGATTGCATGCGTTTGTCCGTTTATTTTATCTCTATGTGTGCCATAAGATAATATTTTCAAAAAGCTTCATAAAGTTTCAGTGTTCCGAGTCTGAAATTGATTAACCTCTTACGGTTTGCAATATCACGATTCAATTGTAAAGGAGTACGCCAGTTTGTCAAAGAATCGATTTGTCGCGAATTGGTATTGACTCCTAGGGAAAGTTTCATTTTGTTAATGCAATACGTACTCTCTGCAGTTTCAAAGCTCTGAAACTTTATTGGTTGCGCGTAGTTTATCATCGACGAGAGCCAAGGGTGACATTGCATAGTACTGCCTGTGTACTGCACCGCTTGCACCTCTTCCGTTCCTTCCTCGGCAGGAGCTTCACTCTCCTGTACAGTCAGAATTATGTCAAAGACGATTTCCCAGAAATCGTAATGTAATCGTAATCCTCATAATAAAAAACAAGAAAAGAAACGTAAAGTGAGATTTTAGGTTTCGTTTTTTTGTAAACTCTCGTTGATATAATTGATCACCTTCGGCGGCTCAGGGGGAGGCGCGGCAGCCGTGTTGGAGGGTGCGCTGGCATCCTCTATCACTTCGTCCTTGGCCTCGAACTGTCCGGCACGAAAAAGCTCGAGCTCGACCTTCTCCACTTCCGGCTTCAGCCGCTTATTCTTGATCAATATCTTGCGTTTCAGCGCGCTCGGCGGCGGAAGAGGACAACCTGGTTCGAGCTGAACGCATTTCCGACGATTGATTTCGTGCGATTGACTGGCTGATCGCGCTCATCATCAATAATTGCCGACTGTATTACTCACGGGATAATCTTTCAGCGGCTCTTTCAGCAACAAGTCGCCCAGTATCTCGTCGCAATACTTGGCTAGTTTATATTGTTGCTTCAGGCAACAATGGTTCTCGAAACTTAAGATTATAGGGTAATCGGAGGTGACGAACGCGGTGTCTCTCAATGCGTAGATCACGTCCTTGAACAAGATGTCGGTGCACATAGCCTTACCGTGAGTGATGATGGGTTCCTCGTCCTCGCCTTTGCCATCCCAGCAGTCCAGCTCAACGCATCTGTGATCGAAACATTGGCCTGTCATCTTTTAGATTTGCTTCTCGACATTATTGTGACTCAGGTTGAGTCGCAGCATCCCAATGTTGTTACGACGATTGAGGAAAATCGTATCACCTGCAACCGGCGAGCAGAACTTGTCGGTACATCTCGACGGTGCTTTTGCCGCCAATTTGACGGCCGCTGAGGTAAGTGTTGTGGCTGGAATTGATGTAATAATGCGAGAGTGGCTGTTCCATGTCCATCCATTCTTCCAGTTTGTCCAGGAACATCGGCGCGTTCTCATCCGACATCAAGTATCGTATGAAACCATCCTTCGTCAATTTTTCTACTCATTCATAACAAATATAAAATAAATATACGATAATATAATATATATATATATATATATATATATATATATATATAATATATATACATATAAAATGTAAGTTTACATTAAACACATGAAACAATTACAGAATAACTAAAAAAACAATAAAATATAACATAAATCGTGGAGAAAATATCATAATAAAAATTATATTAAAATAATATGTATTTTTTTACAATGCTTTTGTAAAAGTTGGATTATACTGTGAAATTGTAAAATAAAATTACTATGTGGAAATAGTAAATTTGATAATTTACCTGATATACGATATAAAAAACATCTTAATTACGATAGTTTTATAATGAAAAGACAAACGTGCGTAACATTCCTAAACAAATATTACAAAAATTTTGCTGTGACTTTTACTGCAATATTTTCTCCGTATATAAGAGAGCTGTGTCACATGTGCGATACGAAAGGAGATTAAATTAATAACACATTCCACGAAAAAGCTTACTCTCTGCCTTTGCTTTCTCGTCCGTTTCGTAGTCGTTTATGATTTCCGTGCACCTCTTCTCGGTGTACAGAGGATAGAGGATCTCGTTGAGTCGCGGATCCCTCTGCTTTGTATTCATAAATTCCACCAATTGTAATAAGCTTATAGCATCGGATTTCCCCTTCGTACTGGAAAACAATGCGAGAACGCATGACTTGGTAACGTTTGGAAATCGTCTTCCACGGTAGGATCCCGTCAAATACTCACATCGATTGGAAAAGTTCCTCAATATCGTTCCTCGGACAAATCTTAAAGTACAAGCTGTAAAACTTCTCGAAAGTGAAAGCTTCCGGCTCTATTTTATCGTTCTAAAACGAGAGTTTTTACAGAATGTATCATTCACTTTTGCCGGCTTGTTACAATGTGACATTGTAAACATATGTGAATCTTGTGATTTTAAATTTGAAATTTCGAACAGATATTTTATTAATAATTAATATAAATTACTGTTCGTGTCAGTGATGATTTAATGATTTTTTTGAGTGAACTTTTTGTTGTCTGCACGGTCAAAGTGCCTTTAAATTCCTCGTATTCAACTCACCTTCCCACTAGGCAAACCCAGGTCCGACAAGCCCTGATAAACGAGTTTTTCTGTCTTTCCGGAAGCAAAAGTCTTTGATATCACTTTTACAGGAACTTTTCCCTTTGGATCCACTTGGAAACTTAGCCGCATCCAGCTAGTAGATTTAATAAGCATCGAAATTTTCATTTAATGATCAAAAGGGAGAAAGAACAGAGAATGTTAGCGTTTGAAAGAATATCTATAATATACATATTTCTTTCTCACGGAGATACTACGTGAGATTCTCAAGCTAATGAGTACGTACTGCTTCATAAGCTGCGTGGTTGGACAGACATTGCAAGCTTTTGTGCTGTGCGTAATTAAACGCAAGCCCGCCTGCCAATCCTGAGTTGTTTAACCGGATTATGCGTGAGATCAGAAATAAAGAAGAGCCAAATTAAGAATATTAACCTTAATTATATTAATGATAAAGTACAACGCGCGTAGGATTGGAATAAGTATAATTAATTAAAGCATAGGGAATGAACTTTGAAATAAAGGGAAAGTCTGAAAAAGGTAAATATGTAAATAAGTAAAATATCAAATGCAAATAATTTGATCTTGATTAAAAAAAATTCAGGCGTGTGTGATTGACCGGATGATATTCGTCGATTTTCAAAGATTTATATTTGCACAGTTTCGAGCAACTTCTCTCGATCTCTCTTCTCTTTATGTACCTTAGCCGTCTGCGCGTCCGCACACACAACGTGCTGGTAGTTGATATTCGTATAGTCCACGCCGGAACATATAGTCAAACTCTTTTCGTCCAATTGTTCTAACGTTCCGTGTTTGCTCAACTTGTTGCACAACTTTGGATCCTAAATAAATCGACGAATTTTCTCTTTTTACTCATCTCTATCACCCGGCAGCACATGGTAATTTTACTCGTGACAGTTTCGACCGTTTGCCACTCTCATTCTGAAATTTTTGAGATTTACCTTCGGCGTGCCACCGCCGTAGCGAATGTCGCTCACTTGAGCCAACTCTATGACCTCCCCGTCCTACGGAAAGCATCGCGAGTTATTTGAGCGTGTCGAGAGGTAACAGTGGGACATGTTTATTCAGTTTGAGAGCGACGAGATATGCGGAGACCGTGCCCGCTGTTCGACTACCTTGCCGTCGCTTTTCCAATAGATGAAAAACCCGTACTCGTCAACTTTGAACATGCAGTTCGGCTCGTACTCGGTCGTCTCTTTGTCTTCGAACCATCGATCGAATACCGAGCCCTTCCTCAACAGCTCCGGCACTTCTATGCGCCAATTAAATTCGAATTTCTTCGTCATGGTACGGCAACTTTAAGCGGAACGAGGTAACTTGAACTCGACGTGAACTTGAGCCTGCCCGGTGCTCGAATGAACGGACAGCCACCGTGGCGGGACTCTCGTGCGCTGGCGACACATAATGCAATTAGTTATATCTAATTTGCCGTGTGAGGATTCAATAACGATCGAAGCCCGTCACGCTACGGGGCGGAATTCCAAACTTACGTAAGCGCGCGTGCCGCGGCGAAGCCACGAGCGTTACGGTCGCGCCGTATTATGCGATTGCTCAATAGCCGAACACGCGCAAAGCCATTGTCATTACGCGAATGATTGTTATTACGAGATAGGAACGATTGCGGCATCTGCGCCGCGTGATACCAATTCTGGCTTCGTTTAATTTTCGTTCACAATTTTCGAATAGAATAATGCCAAGAAATTTGGATAATTTCAAACGTATCGTTATATTCAAAATATCGTTTTGCTGGTCCAAGTAAAGTTCTAAATGTTTTACAGTTTATCGCTGTCTCCTATTCTTCTATTAGAAAATTGTTTGTGGTACGTAGAAAATTTACAGAGGTAGCATCCCAATATTTGTAAATAAATTTAGGTGGGTGTGAGAACTACATATTTTTGTTTGACTCTCGTCGCTAGTCTTTTTTATTTAGCACAGCTATGGGCGTCACAGAGCGTTTTTCTTGCTAAATTTTGCAAGTGGTTCAGATAAAAATTCTATTTTTCTCTGCTATCTGTATTGATTAACTACAAAACTACACGCGATATTGCAGTGTTTGCTAGTCATTTATATCTATTTTAGCTCTTATTTTTAGATATAATTTTTGCACTGACTGCAGGAACATTTTTTGAATGTATTATTTTTTATTTTCGTAAAAAAAGATATGAGATGGGGAAGGAGAAGCAGGCAAACACATTTCTTTTCTTGGACGCGATACATAATAATTTATTAAACTTACTGTCAACAATGTAATCCTACCTCGAATCAGTGCTTGTCTATGGTCTATCACACGATGATGGCGCAAAGAGTATTAATATCATTACTTTGTGAAAAGTAATAACATCAGTGTAACGGATACTTTCTTACATTAATGACTTTCGCAACTAATTACTGTATTTATAAGGAGCTATAAATAATGGAATGTCGGTTGTCTCGCGACAGCTGCTGTGATGACTGACGGTACGTATCTCTTTTTTTCGATTCTTTGTCTCTCTTTCTCTCTTTCATGAAATCTCGGCTCGTGGGTACGATTAAGTATAACCGTAGAAAATGGAACGTTCTTGCGCGTTACGTTATCACATCTGAGGCTTCAGCAGGTAGTGCGAATTCAACGGTATTGAAGTGTTCATGTCAACTTGGGGTTCCTTTTGTACGTCGTCCTCCAGATTGTGCAAGGGCTCTATGCAGTACTCCTGCCCACACACTTTACACGCTTCAAAGTGCGGTTTGATGGAATTCTTGAGTCTCTGCGAGAAAATGAAATTTTCTTCATTAAAATTCTAAGAACCGTACTCTCTATCGGTGCACTGCCATTATCATGAGAAAAGAAGATATGAAATGAAAAAATTCGTATTCATATCCATCTTGTAGAAGATTCTACATATCTCTTCGAACTATAATTTTCGCTACCGTTGGCGGCTTATCCAGAAAATAAACGACACAGGAATTATATCTTATCGTAAAGTAACGTATTGAATCATATATAGATTTATCGATAGTAGGTAGGTAAATCGACGATCCGGCGATGTTAGAAATTCGACCAGTGTCAACGAAACTTGACACACCTCGGCAAACGTGATGCCATCCGCTCTGACGAGTACGCAAACAGCAAAAGCGGGAATGCAAATTAAGGAGAGAGACGCGATGCCCCATCCGATTGCCTCTGCCCACCATGGATAAACGTAATCGCCATTGTGGTAGGTTGGCGGCTCATAATCAATTAGGCTGAACACCCAAACAGCCTGAAAGGAGATGGAAATTATAAAGATGCGCCCCGCTCTCTTTAAGATCGTTGACCGCGTTGTAAGTGATACGCAACGAGCCGTGAGATTGAGATTAACTGTCGTGCTGATTATATGGTGCGGAATAAATTAATTATATATGCAGTACAAGAGCTTAACCGATGAATTATTACAGACATGATAATTGAGAGAAATGTAATTATAAGAGATATAATTTGAAAGGTATGCATTTTTATCTTTTAGGTCTCTGTTGATCGCGGAAGCAATCTTTCAAGTATGATTCATTATACATGAAGAAAATATTGTAAAAATTACGTTATAATTATATTTCTTTTTCTAATGTTTTTTAAAAAGTTCTCTCTCTCTCTCTCGATTATATTGAAATCGCAGTAAAAATTACTGTAAAAATAGTAATTGACGATCAACTTAATATAATGTAAAAAAACATTAAAGTAATTACAATAACTTTGTAGTAAGAAGTCAAACACAACGAATGCATAGTAATTTCGGTCACAATTCTGTACCCCTCAAGATAATAAAAATTTTGTTGTAATTTTTACTGCATTATTTTCTGCGTGTATTTCACATGTTACTTGACACAATTGTATTATAGAAAGACACGCTTTATTTCAGCATGACGAAATTCATCAATATGATTGCGATCTCACCATTATGAGGAGGGGTGCGGCGAGGAACCAACAGAAGCGGAAGTACACCGAGGGCAAACGTCCGGTCATCTCCTTGACGTTGTTGCAGAGCCGGCGCACGCCGTAGAGCCACGAGATCGCGATTATCTCGAAGAATGCCAAAAACATGATGGACATGGACGCGGCATAGTGATCTATCAGTTGGAAAAAGTAAATACCACCCTGAGGCAGTCACGAGGTGTCACTTAGTGGTGGACAGATATTATACCGATTGTAAAACATAAGTAGAAACATCGCATTGCTAATTATACCTGCGTGATATTCGGTAGCCCGAACAGGAACGACACGACGCATATGAGCAGGACCAATATCTCGTGACAGAGAAGATGACGTTTCACCCAATTCGGGAAGCCGTCCTGGATCGACGTGACGACAACCTCCACTACGGCGAACTGAAATTCAAAGAGGTTTGCGCAACCACCGTGAAAACATTGCAAAACGCCTGCCTGTTACGATCTCCGGAATAGAAAGTTCGTGAAAACACACTTTGCATTCGCGATTTGCATTCCAGATTGAGCAACAATCATGTTCGATCTTCAATCTTGAATTTGTTTTTATTCTACACATGCGACTAAAATACGTTCTGTACGTCCCCCTCTCTCTCTCTTTCTCTTTCTCCCTCCCTTTCTCTCTCTCTCTCTCTCTCTCTCTCTCTCTCTCTCTCTCTCTCTCTCTCTCTCCTGTGTATTTTCGCGACGCTGAAGTTCCGCAAGTCGATCGCGTTTATTTGCTCGTCGGTTTGTAATCGTACACAATCGCGCCGTACGTTGAAAAGGACGTGTGTGCTTTTCCCCGTTGCATTCGCGCTGCACGTACTTACTTGACTGTTCAGCGAGAGGCAAACCAGCATGAAGAAGAATAGCACAGCCCACAGCTGCGAAGCCGGCATCTTGGCTAACGCTTGCGGATAGATTACGAAAACCAGCCCAGGTCCTTGAACGGAGAAATTATGATTTATCTATAAAATGTTAGGACCGGAAATTAAAAAACTGACGCGATACAAAACAGTGAGGGAGAGGATATCAGAAAAAAATGAATCAACAAATAAGTAATCATCTCATTGGAGCCGTCGTTTCGAGCAACAATTGTGAGTGTCTCGTGTATTGCAACGCAGTTATGAGAGAAATAATGTGAGTAAAATACAATAAGACATACAATTTTCAGCATTTTTCTTTTTTCACAACGCAAACTTCTCATATCTAAAGACTCGTCTACAGTACGTAAAGCAAGCTTGGCGTAAAAAAGTTAGTGTAAGAGATAAAAGTAATCTATTTCGTTTACGCCCCTTATACTCTAATTCTCTTATATCGAATGTATTTCTCTGAAGTAAGAGAAGTATTGTAGACGAGCCTTAACACTCTGTGCATACCGTCAGTCAGGACATCTTCAACGGACGTGTTTTGCTCCAGCGCTATATTGCCGATTGTGGCAAACGAGAATATCCCAACCAAGAGACTGCTGAAAGCGTTTATCAGCGACACGGCGACAGTGTCCACCAGGATCGTGTTATGGAACCTGTTGTAACTGGCGAAGCATATCATCGATCCGAAGGCGATTCCCACAGAATTGAAGACCTGTGCCGCGGCGTTTATCCAGACCTAGTGACGATTTATTGCGACTAAAATTAATGCAAAAACTGTGCAAGCACGCAACTGGTTACGTAGAAGTAAGCAACGAATTAGGTAGAAGTTGAGATTTTAAATTCTTCAAAAATACAATCTATTGTATCATCACGGTCTGATTTTTCACTTTTTATTGTTTCCTTTTTATTGTTTCTTTTTATACACGCAGAATGATTGATGCGCGCGTACCTTAGCGTCGCCCAGCAATTCCCAGCGCGGATGAAAGAAGAACTGCAGACCTTTCTCGGCACCTTCCAGTGTGAGGGAACGTGTAAGGAAGACCACGATTAGAAGGAAGGGAAGAGTCGCTGTAAGATATCTCACTTGCGCCGACGACTTAATCGATTTCCAAATAGAGAAGTATACCATGATCCACGCGGTAATCAAGCACGCCACGAGCTCCCATCTCAGAGCTCCCGGTTCTTCGATTCCATTACTAATTTGCAGGACCTTGTTGCTGGATAAAAAACAAAAAGAAGAAAAATATATTCAACTATTTTTTCACAAATGTCTTATATATATTTCAGGAAATTTTTAGCATACAAAGTTAAAATTAGATGTATTTTACATCTCATATTAAATAAAAAATATGTAGGATAATGTAGATATAATTTATACAAGTTGAGAAAACATGATAAGGGAGAAATTTACTCGAAGAATTCCTCGGACGGCGTCCTCGTCGAATTCGGTCGAGTCCGATTATCGATCGATCCATAACTGGGCAGCCAACAGCGCGGCGAATTCCACGAGTTGTCGCAACGCGACCACGGTTGCTCCGCACGGAATGCCGCAAAGAAGTAATAAATTGCGTAGGCTATTATCACATTGTGGTAGGTTGACAACAGAAACGATATCACGACCGAGGATAAGCCAGCTCCTGTACAGGCGAAAACGTAGAATGCTAACACATAAGACAACTTGTAGCATTGTACTCTAAACGAAGAATTACGAGTCACCGTACAATAGAGAGTTCCTCCCAGCTCTTTACATTCGCAAGAGAAATTGAAAAAAACAACCAATTTCAATTAAACTTCACAATTATACATGCAAAACGAATTGGTTGGATCAACCAAAAATCTAGTAAAATATGAACAAATCAGAGTTCTCAGAGTTAAAATTACTAGAAATTTTGCTTGGTTAACTAAAAATGTTATTAACTTGAACAAAATTCTAGTAATTTCAACCGCAATTCTGGTTCGCTTGTACTTCACCAAATCTTTGGTTAATCTAACTAAATTTTTCTTTCTGTGTATAAAATAAATTTGGAAACATCCAGACATATGAGAAATTTCGATACTTTTATGATTTAGCGGTATTGTGTGAGTTATATCGAAATATTTGAAACGCAGTTTAAAAACTCACGATTATATTACGATTATTCATGATTATTCACGATTATTCACGAAAATATTACAAGCAATTAAATTATTTCTATATGAAGAAATTTTGTTGTCGAAAGGAAAGTTTGGCACCGAAACAATTTGATTAAAATGGGTCGAACAAACATTTAGTAACTGCAAGCAAAAAATTTAATTGCCGCTTTGTGCGTTTCTCAATAATATATGCACTTGACACAAGCATGACAATGCCAGCCAAATCGCGTGTACCAAATATTTTAGTTCCAAATACAGATATAATTTTTTCAGCGAATCGATATACCTCAAAATTTTTACATTTCAAAAATATAGTATAATAAATTTATGCCGTCTCTCTCGAATTTTCGCGAGTTTCACGGTGGATTGCAGAAATGAGCGCGTGAAAAGCCTCCATCGTATCTAGCCATCGGCCATCACATTTTATCGGCAATCCATCATTCGACGACTTATTCGTTTACCTTTCAATAACGGACACACTTGACCCAGCGCGCCGATCGGGCCGCGACGAGTGAACTGTCCGATGCTGAGCTCCATGTACAGCAATGGTACTCCACATACTATGAGTATTAAAAAGTAAGGCACGAGGAACACACCTGAAACAGCAGGACCGCAGAATAAGCGCGGAGTATTCGGACGAGAGTCCGTCGTAATCGGCATACATAAATTGATTTCGCAAAAACAGGGACCGCGAGTCTCGAGTGTAAGGAGCGTTAGTCCGGCTATGGAGCACGCGTTTGTCAAACGTTTCGCTAAACATGGTACGTGCTCGACGCAATAGTACTCGACGTTAATCATACTGTGGGCAGTTAGCAAGGTCACTTACTGGATGTAACTCTTTATTCGCAATAAACGACGACGGTAACGGCGCGGATTACGACTTAATTCGACACCAAGCATTTAGCCGAGGCAAGGACAGGTGACGATTAGTCGCGGTTTCCGATGAGTTTTCCCGAATCTTCTTCCCATCAGTTATTACAAATCTCACCCGGTACTTCTTGTTAGTGAAAATAGTGTTCTCTTACTAGTAGCGTAATTTTACTTTCTTAATGATAGTATTAGGTTGGTACAAAAGATTTGTCATTTTCCTATTAAATTCCCGAAATTTCTGATATATCATATATGTTCAAATAATGGACATATAACGTTATATAAATACGAATTCTTTTTTTACGGAGAAAAGATCCGATAGAATATATTTTCGCTATTTTTACGAAGAACCCACTTTTAAGAAACTACTCATGCAGGTGCACGATGCAAGTTAGTGACTTCAAATAGCTGAACATGTTGTAGCTTGAGGCATTATTAAATCTACTGTATAAAAGCAGCATAAAAGAAAACACAAATAAGTTTATAAAATTAAAAAATATACTCCATACAATAAGATAAAAACTGATAAAAGCTATCTTATTGTTTCAAACATAAAGTGGATTAAGTATTTGTACATGTATAGATAATACAGCAAGCAATCCTTGTACACAGAATTGTATTTGTGTCCAAGTAATCCTGATATTTTGAAAAATATTTCAAATAGTATATTATAGTATTACTAAGTAGCTGAGTAACTTGTGTTTGTTCTAGTTATTCATCAAAATGATTGATCCTTTAAATAACTTCGTTTTCTATTTTATTTCGACGCACATACACACACACATGACGAAGCTTTTGCATCAACCTTACATTCTGTTATTAACGCAATCGTATTTCTCGTTAACAATGACAGTATTTTGTTGCTAATGCAATTTCATTTTTCGTTAATATAACCATACTGTTCTCTTACTGCAATTGAGCTAGCTATCAGAGTGACCGATCCAATCGTATTTTCTGGTAATCAACGATAATGCTCCGTTACTATCGCGGTGGCAATTGTACAGCACGTTGGCCGCAACGTCATTTTTCGCGGCGACGAGGCAGGCTCTTGTTCGACGCGTCCACGCGAACGTGATCGCGCGATGTATGATGCGCTTCGCACCTCGGAAAGAGAGATGTAAATTAATCCCACTCGACGGCACAGCGTATCGCGTCGCACGCATAAATCAGACGACGTTATCCGATATGTTTTCTCCGTCGGCTTCAATCCGGCGACGCGCGCGACGCGACGCACGGATGGCAGTTTTCATTTAGTCCGACCGAATACACAAATAATATATGCGATCGTACGCCAAATAAATTATCGCCAGATATTAAACGAGGACGCCGAGATAACAATCGGCCGATTTCACGTGACGTATCAATAGAGGGGCGGAAGGGGAAGGAGGAGGGCGGAGGATTGCGGGTGGAGGACTGCGATTTAATTTCTGACGAAAATCCAATGCGCATCGTTACAAGGCGCATAATGGTGTTTCCATTAATGTTGTCGCGACCATTTGCGACACAACGTCGTCTTTCTCACGTAAATGCAATTTATTGTCGCGGCTCGCAATGAATATGTCGAGCGGCGCGCGTGCGTTTCGCGTGCGCCCGGCCAGCGGAGCCATATTATTTCCTCTGATTTTCCGCTCCTCTCCCGTTTAATATGTGATTTCGCGAGATCACATACACGGTGTATTTTTATGAGCGCAGAGTCCCGCCGACGTGCGCGCGAGCGTGAGTGTATGTGTGCGCTCGCGCGCGTTGTTTGCACAACGAATATAATTCGCGCGTGCACGCGCGGATAGTTGAAATTACGGAGTTGTTCCCCTAGCCGGTTGTAAGCGCGGAGATACGTCGCGCAGCGCGTAGTTGCAATCAAATAAAGCTGTCGTCGGCTCTTGAATTTATCCCGCAAATGAAAATAACTATCGCGAATACTTGGGGTTTCGTCAATTTGTTTCTTTGAGAGTCAAAATTTCATGCCCCCCTCCCGCCCCGTCCCACGGGCGCTGAATCCGCATTTGTTCGCGCCGCGTTTTCGAAATCACGCGCGGTACAATTGCAATTAGGAAGTCGGGGTGCTTGAAATTGCTACATGTTTGAGAGCGTCTCTCTCTTTCTCTCTTTGTCTCTCCCGCGGGATGCGACTAGACGGCATTTCAGACTCGCGTTCACAAAGACCGCGATCCACGTGCGTTGACACGATCGACATCGACGATGCGTTTCAGCACGATGATCCCTGCTGATCGCGCATCGCGCATCGTGCGAGATCGAGGCGCGCGCGTGTCACCCGAGCGCGAAAGCCGAGGCGTTTCAATCGTGTAAATCAGATCGCGTTACACGAGAGAGCCGGTCTTCCGGCCCACCAATTTAGACCGGCAGAGAGTGCGCCGAGATGACACTCTCGGCCGATTATTTCCACCGGTGTCATTGAAATCATTCACGGTGTCCGGCGGAGTAGCCGCGCTCCGGCAAGGTCATGTATCAAGTTCCGCGAGCGAATTGCGCCGCGCATCCGGCCGCCGGATGCTTCCAGACTTTGAAAATTGTCCGGGCAACCCGACACCAGCTCGCGAGAGTTGCAGGGACTGCGAGGGAAAAAGAGGACGGGTCGCCCTTGCTCTGAATACGGCTAGCCTGACTTCCGCGAGACGACGTCACCGCGCCTTCGCGGGTTCCGTCTTAATTCGCTCTTCCGCGACAGCGTGTAATTTTTCCCCCGTATACGCGTGACATGCGATTTTTCCCTCGACGGCTGTTGCGACTGACCGGTCGCGACTGACGTTTAACCGTTTAAATGTCACGTGAGAACGACATTGTACCAACGTGTCTCGACGTGTTATTCTCGCGAGATGAAGAAGCCTGCACTGAAAGAAATTATCCGATAAAAAATCAACAAACCAATATTTTCGATCAAATTTTAATGTCTGATCAAAATATCCAATTAAATTTAATCGAATACTTCCGCTCATATAATAGCATTTTATCCAATAAACCAATCAAAAAATTATGATCTGATATTCTTTCTCAGATGTTTCCTGGCCGGATACAAAAATTCATTGGTATTTTGATCGGAAATATTTGTTAATTTCCTATCGAGTAATTTCTCTCAGTGAAAAATCAGGGAAATAATATGCAGAAAATGTTGCAGCAAAAGTTACAACGAAATTTTGTGAACTCGAACCGCACAGAGAATATGATCGAGGTTACATGTTCGCCTGAAATGTGTTGTGCACGTTACGTTAACTTTTTACTAGAAAATTATTGCAGTTTGTTTGAATGTTTTTTATTCACAGATAGCCCAGTTTATTTCTACACTATGTGTGTAAGAGCAAAAAATATTTTTAAAAAATATTTATTTATTGTGTACTAATGATATATTTATTTAAACTAAACTGTTTTGTTTAAGTAGAACAAATAATTGCTTTCGTGATAAACTAAGGTTTTAAAATGTGTGTACTCTTATTTGAAAAATATTTTTTCTCAGTGTAAAAAATTACGTATATCTACAAAAATAAATATGTTTTTAGTACGGATGAATATTTTTTATTTCTTGAATATCTTTTCCCTCCATGTGTAATAATTCATAATGTAATATGTCAGTATAATCCACCTTTGCATCCAAAGTAAAAGGTATAATCTCATTCTTACTAGAATTCTCTTGTGCATGGCCTGAAGAGGATTCTTCTAAAACCACAACCAGGGAAAATATTCTAAACACAATATTGTTCCTTCTCACTAGAAGAGAAACTCTTTCTTCTAAGAATTTCCGCTTAGAATATGGAGTTACGGCATTTCGCAACCGAAACTCTTGTTTCGGGATGTCATTCTAATATTCCTAAATTTTCCTTTCAGTTTTAGAGAAATCCTCTCGAAGCCACAACATAGGATTCCGCTGAGGACGGGATTATATTTTTCGGCGTGTGCAAAAAGCGTGCTGTGAAGTAAAATATAATCTTGATGTAATTTTTACTATAATATTTTCTCGGTGTGTATGTAGCAGAGAAGTCGCGGAAAGCGCGCGGTTCGAGCCGCAGTCGTGTATTCCGCGGTATTCCGTATAAAGTCCCCGAGAAAAGGACGATAGCTCGGACTGTCGCTCCGTCAGCTATTTCGCCGCTGACGTACTTCACACCGGCGACACGCAAAATAACCGCGCACTCTTATCACAGTTATGCTAATCGCGGCGACACGTCCCGACGACGTCGTTGTTTGCTTACTTGGCGAGTTTATTTTGACCGTGTATCTGCGTCCAACAGCTGCGCGAAATCTCCTTCTTCCTCCTTTCCCCCCGCCCCCGCCCCTCCCGCCCCTCTTTCCCGGAGACGACGGTCTGTCGGTACGGACTCGTTTTCCGCATTTGGCGCGGAATCGGACCTCGCGAGATTACGATTGCGCGCCACTTATCGCGCGCGCAATGGATTAATTGCGCTCGCCGTGGGAGACTCACCGCCGCCGCTTTTGTAGCACAAATAAGGAAATCTCCAGACGTTGCCGAGGCCGACGGAGTAGCCGATGCAGGCCAGCACGAATTGCACCTTGTTCGCCCAATGCGGCCTCCTGGGCTGCCGATAATCGCTCGGGTCGTCCGCGTCCCCGTCGTCGAAGCTGGTGCACGTAGAGAGATCATCCTCGAACCTGCAACATCGTCTACGTCGGCACTCGGTTGCGGTTGTCGTGCGAATGCGTCGTAACCGTGAATCGAAAGGGGCTTCCGCGGCGCCAGGTGCAGCGAGAAAAATTGGAAGAGTCGCGGGGGAGAGATGTCGCGCGCGCTAAATTCATCAGACATGACGTTTCGGTGGGAAAACGCGGAAGCGCGGTGACGTATGACCGCTGCCAGTTGGAGAAGAGCTTCTGCATGAATAGAAATACAAGCGCGCTAGTTTTATATTAATAGATCCGTCCGATAGCGCGCGTGCGTAATGGTGGCGTTTTGCTAAATACTTTGTCAAACGAGTGAAGTTATTTACGAGCCCGGCGCGGAGATTTAAATAACGATGCTGGCGCGACATTTCTCCTCGGCTGCGTTCCCTTCGGTCCGCTCGAAGTGACGGCGAGTGACGACATTCGAAGAGTCATTGTCAGTGCGACGTATCTCCGAAATTGGTCTTTGGGGATACACTGTGAATGCATTTGACGGGAAATCGCACGTCGGTCACGCTGCGCATTCTTAAACTAATCAATGGGAAAATAATTTAATCACTGTATCTCTCTGCTTAAAGTTAATAATACGAAAACCACTTGACAACCCGCAAAAAATAATGCGACAAGCCCGTCAGAACCCGTTTTTTTAATTGCTTGACGATTTCGGTCAACAAATTCGCGGGAACTGCCGGACGCTATGAGTCGTTATGAGTCGATAAATCGATAGAACATCGCGCCGACTGGGTCACGCGTCAGTCACGCATTTTTATACTACTGACAGCATCAGTGGGAAATAATTGAACCACTGCATCTCGATTGATATAGTCAACGGTATAAAAATCATTTGGTCGACCGCAAAAAATAATATGGCGGGATGGGAGTTTATCAAACCCGTTTTTTAATCGCTCGACGATTTCAGTCGATAGATTCGCGGGAAACACGTTACAAATCGATTCGATGGAAAATTACGCCAACTCAGTCGCACGTCAGCCACGTCACGCATTTTTAAACTAACGTGGGAAATAATTTAATGACATCACAGTGAAAAATAATGGAATCTTCAACAGTCAACAGTCATAAAATCCATCTAGCAAACTGCAAAAAATAATATAGCGCCGCGCGAAATGGTCAGAACCCGTTTTAATTGCTTCACAATTTCAGGAAACAAATTCGTGTTAGAAGTCGATTTGACAAACACAAAAATCATTTAACAAACTGCAAAAAATAAGTGGTAGGTCGCGATTTATTCAGGAGCCATTTTTTAATTGCTTGACTTCAATGTACGAGTTTGCGTTATGAATCGATTTGACGGAAAATCGCGTCCACTTAGTCAGTCACGTTACGTACTTTTCTAGCTCAATCAGTATAAAAACTGCGTATCTAGCAAACTGCGAAAAATAATCGTGGCGGGCCGCGATCTGGCCGGCAATCGTTTTGTAATTGTTTGACGATTTCAGCTAACGAATCCGCGAGAATTGCCGGATGCATTACGAGTCGATTTGACGAAAAATCGCGTCCACTTAGTGAGTCACGTTACGTATTTTTAAACTATTCAGTTGGTAAAAAATTCAGTGAAACATCATTGAAAAATAATGAAATGACTGCATCTCTAGCTCAATCAGTATAAAAACTGCGAAAAGTAATCATAGCGGGCCACGATCTGGCCGGCAATCGTTTTGTAATTGTTTGACAATTTCAGCTAACGAATCCGCAAGAATTGTCGGATACAAGTCGATTTGACGGAAAATCGCGTCCACTTAATCAGTCACGTTACGTACTTTTAAACTATTCAGTTGGTAAAAATTCAATAAAACATCATTGAAAAATAATGAAATGACTGCATCTCTAGCTCAATCAGTATAAAAACTGCGCATCTAGCAAACTGCGAAAAATAATTGTGGCGGGCCGCGATCTGGCCGGCAATCGTTTTGTAATTGTTTGACGATTTCAGCTAACGAATCCGCGAGAATTGCCGGATGTATCACGAGTCGATTTGACGGAAAATCACTTTGACTTGGTAGCGCGTTAGTTACGATGCACATGGTCGCTGTGTCCGCGCATTTACATGACGCGCTAGTTCGCGTGCTACCAGACGGTAATGGTCCGACAGTCACCATTAAATATTCATCGTCATTGTTTATAGAACGATATACGCAGCAGCCACTCGATTGCCCGATTATCGACGATAGCGTAGATTAGAACAGTTTGGCGTCGCGCGAAGGCGTCGCAGGTGGTATTCGCGGGTGAACGCGTTCGTTCCCGGCGGACTTGAACACGCCGTTATAAATAAGTCCGATGAGAGAAAGAAATCTCTCTTAATAGCCATATATTATGATAAAGTGTCGCGCGCGAAATAGGCGGCGACGACGACAACGACGACGGCACAATATCGACCTTGCGACGACGACGCGCTACGCGTTACGTAACACTCGCGCGGATCGGGCAGGGAATTTTTATGCGTTTATCGTATAAATTCATACTTCACGGTGTGGTGAGCGCAAAAATGGTGTCGGACCACAAAGAACGGGAGGGGGAGGGGGCACAGGCGGCGGTCGACAATGCTGAAAAACATATAGGCGACGCACCTGTGTACACTCCCCGCTCGTTTCGCGACGCAAAACTAATATAACGTGTCGTGGGTGCATCGCGGATACGATAATGCACGCCATTACTCGTGTAGCTAGATTCTGAAAAGAATGTATAACACAACAATATAAGCGTAACGGAAACGTTACGCATCGGCCGCCAAGGTTTCCCCGATGATACTGTTAGGCTCATATTAACCCTTCGAGCGCACTGAGGCGCAAACTTGCATTGTCGATTTCTGCAAAAGATGTTTTTTTCGGAATACAAACAAATGTGAATCAATTTATCACCCTTTTATCATTTTCTTGTCGGCTTTTATATTATTATTGTGAAATATTCTGATTTTCTTTTCTTATATTAAAAACATAAAAAATTGAAATTGATTATTCGGAGCTGAGTTACAAGTCAGCAAAAATCGTTGGTGCAAATTTGCACCTTGGTGTGCCCTTGGCGTCCTCCGCCTGATGTGTGCGCTCGAAGTGTTAAGTGTTGTCACCTGAAACTCGTTTCATGTGAAATACTCAGATTTTTATTCAGAGTCGAATAAGCTCTGACACGATCACGTTATCCTTTTCGTATTTCTCGTGTGTACAAATGTTATATAAATATGCGGTGCTTTTGCTTCACCGCATATATTTAATAGAAAACACAATCGCGCGTATAAAAAGATCTTTCTGCAAACTCATCGTATATTTTTAAGCTTGCGAATTTAGTTATGAAGTCGCAGAAATGTTCTTCAAACTTTTCTTGATGAGCGGAGCAAACATACATTCGGTATGCACAAGCTGCAAAACTGTTGTATGAGGCAAATATTTACGCTAACTGACAGCTCGATGTGTCAATTTTGAATTTCTTTATCGCTTTCGTCGTATACTGACAAATGCTCCAATTAGTTTTTGTACATATTTTCACTGTGTAAACATAATATTGATTCTGTACAACCAATCCGACGTAAACTTTGCAGAAATAAGTCAATACTCTTTGTCGGTAAACTTTTCAACTATGGCATCCTCTTAATAGTTATTACCTGAAACTCGTCTCAAGGGAGACAGATCTGAACTGAAAGTTAGACGAGAGTTTTTCAGCTGAATCGTGTTGTTATAGATATAAATGTTACGTATATTATAACATGACTGAAAAAAGTTAAATTCAACTCTAAAGAAAAATCTAAGTATCTCATATTAAACTTGTCTCATATAAGACTTTATATTTTGTCTCATATCAGATTTTTATTCCAAGTTTTTCAGACGAATTATGATGTATGCGATTATTTATAGATCCGCCGTCATGTGATCAAATTGAAAAAAACTCTCATCTAATTCAAATCCGAATATCTCACTTGAGACGAGTTTCAAGTCATAACTATTAATACTATTAATACTGATCTTAGGTTTCCACTCACGAGAAGTTACGAAGCTCATAAGAGCCTACGCAGGACGATAGTTGTCAATGATTAATTGCCGAAGAGTAATCAATTATCACTATCGTGTCGGTGCGCAATGCCATTTCTCAAATAAAAGCCGTGAAAACGACTCGTTATATCATCAAATAATTTTTGCTAATCTCCTGTCGTGAGTTTTGTAACGATAAGTATAGAGTTGATGCACGAATGTCTCTTTCTTCCTTTCTCTCTCTCTCTCTCTCTCTCTCTCTCTCTCTCGCTCTCCCTCTACCTCTGACGTAAATAACTTAATCAGACCACGCGTATCGGCAGGAGAGCGTCGAGAGATAGCGCGTACACGTGGATTTACAACGTTCAGCTGTTTATCGTCGCTTCATTAACGCGTTCACGTCGCTGAGGAGGAGGAATGTCTTTACCCCAGGAGGCCCGTGCGCGCTATTCAAAAACGAGACGTGACGAGCTCTAAATGTAGGACGACGATTACGGGTCGTTCCAAGCGCCGTCCCGTTTCAATGGAAGAAGCGGGACAGCAGCCGCAACAATATGCTACTGAGAGCGCACGAACACACCTACTTACAACAACGATACGGTCTTACATTGTACACCTATTATCCACTTACGCCTCTGGGACGATACGCCGGAATTGCAGTCCCTGGATTACGAGACCTGCCGGCTTCGCGAGCAGCTTAGATGCGCAGCGCATCGCTCTCTTCCTCGGTCTATCTCTCCTTTTCCTCTCCCCTCTCTCTCTCTCTCTCTCTTGTTACGAGAGAATACGCAGCTCAGGAAACAAGGCTTTGATATCAGGATGATCGGTTAACCGGTGTAATTCGGATGAGATGCGATTGTCGATGCCACGTACATAGACGCAAAGAGAACAATTCACCTCTCTCTCTCTCTCTCTCTCTCTCTCTCTCTCTCTCTCTCTTATTTTTTCTTTGTTATATTCCTGTGTGACGAGTGTACACAGACTGACATAATAGCCTTGACATAGAAAGTTATAGAGCATAATATATAGAGCATATCCAAAATTTTAGCCCTATTTTACCTTCTGAACCTTCTAACATTTGTATATTTTGAAAAATGTGTCTAATACGCATGAAAACTGAAGTCCTATTTAGAATCTCTAAATAACAGAAAGTGCCAGTTCTAAAGAGAGACTATTCGGCAAAGCTAGTAAATCAAATAAAATCAAAAGAGATTGATACAGACTTCAGAGCTATCAAAGTAGGAATTAGATGGAATACTGACATCGAAAGTAATTTTGACTCAAATAATGTATCTCTTATGAGGGACACTAAAATGATGTAACTCTACTTAGCTATTACGCCGGTTTGCATAACTTGCTTCCCAATATGGTTTGGACGTTTTCCTCTCGGCGCAGTTTGGAACACTCCCAATGGCCTAATGAAACAACTCGATTTCTGGGAATTAGGCAAAAATAAATTCCCTCATTGGACTATCGGCTACGTTCCAAACTGCATCGAGGGGGAAAGTGTTGAAGTCACATTGAAGCCAAGTGTACTTCTCTTACTTCTGCTCGAATGTTGCTCTGAATGTGAGATTATCTTAGAGCGCGATGAATCAGTCTTCTATTCGGTCCTCTCAGTCGCGTCTCTATTGTTGCGAGTACGCGCGTCTACGGCACCGTGGACGCGAATTCATCGAAAATTACACCGGATACTACAGTGGCTTCGATCGTCTTTAATTCACGTTGGACACGCGCGCTGGCTGATCCGGCAACTTGGTCCGCGCGTTAGAGCAGGTCGCAGCGTGTCGATTAGAGCTATACGCGGCAAATTGAGAGTCAATTTCACCGACGTCGTTGATTAACTAACTTAACCCTCGTCCCTTTCTAGATCATAGCGCTTGGCTGCTGGTGCAGGTGATACGATGACGGAATTTAATCAACGACGGTTGGCGTTAATTGATAGCGTGATCGATCCTAAATCATCCAAGTTGCTCTCAGATGGGAAATTGAGTAGACGCCTCTCTAGAGCCGCTTAGAGCAACGACCGTTTTCGTTGTCTATTAGAATCAATATCACTTGTTACACTAATTAACTCGAGAGAAGTGAAACCATTCGTGGAACATAAATAATTTATACATAATTTATTGTCCAATGTATGCTATAGATTTTTAAATTTTCCTATATATGTGTGCAACTCTTCATATGTATTCCATTCAGTGTTCTAATTTTTCTAATTTTTCTGACTGAAAATTTCTGATCCCTTCTTTTCTCTTTGAAGCTATGATCCAGAAACGAAGGCGAGAGATCACCGCTCATAATTAGTCAATCAAAGTCATGGGTGCAACTGACCTTTAGTAGTCTGATCGAGGGGACTTTGCAACGTTACATCCGCGCTAGGTGCGGGCAACAGCGCGACGCAATAATAAACTCGCGACTCTCGAGATGGAATTAACGCGCATCAGGCGAGCGATTCAGGAAGCGCTTCACGGTAGTCTTTATTGTACGAAGGTAATCGCCGGAATAATTACAACGCGATCCCGAACTGCCACCGTCACTACCGCCGTGGATCTTACGTACTGAGGATCACGCCCGGCCGTCGCTTCATTTTTATATGCCGGATAACGCGTCTTAGCGGTTTATTTACATTGTTTGCGCGAGATATTAGCCCGCAAGTGAGAAACATATGGTGGGTGCGGGCTTCTGTGTGCTTTAATTTGATTCATGGCGCTAGTCCTTCACAACGGCGACTTGCTCAGCGAGGATAGACAGACGAAAAACGTTAACGCAAATGAAGATTAATTATTTCAGTTTTTCAGAAATTAACGTCAATTGCCTCGTCCGATCATCGTCTATTTCGGTCGTGTTTCTGTTTTTCTCTCCTTTTTTCTGCCTTCTCATAAAGCAAGCCCGATGACGGGCTTCGCAATTTAGCCGAGTGTCGATTGATCCATTGTAATTCAGAAGTAGTGCAGATGAGATGTTACGTCAGTCATTCGAGGCGTTAATGCAAAATGATTCATCCACGCTTCTCGAACGAATCAACTGCCACGAATTTTTGACTGTGCAACCGCGAGAGGTACTACTTGAAGAATTTGCACAGAGATCAAAATGATCGAAAGCGCGATTGTCTTCATTTCGCAGAACTGCTTGCCTCGCTTGCACATCTTAACCGAGTAAAGTGACACAGATCTCGAGAACTTATGAATCACTCAAGTATGTCTTATCTCTCTTGACCTACTGTCACTTTTTATCACGCTTGTTTGTGTCTTCTACAGAATATATAACGGTCAAGTAATGTTCAAAGGAGCCTAACTTTTTTTGTGATAAAATTCCCCAAAGAATCATTCTATCTTCTAAAAATAATTTTTCAATGTAGATAAATAAGTTTACTTAAAAAATCACTTGATTGTAACTTTCTTCGTGATTAAATTCTTCAAAACTATCTTATCTTCTTGAAATAATTTTTTTATGAAGGGAGAAATAATATTACGTGGAGAAAATTATTGGATTGAATTTTCTTTACGATTAAATCCTCAAAAACTAACCTGTATCCCTAAAACAATATTTTTTATAAGGAAGAAAATAATTTTACGTGAAAAGAAAATTACTGAGACTGTAACTTCCTTCAAACGATAAATTCTCAAAAACTATCCTGCATCCTTGCAATAATTTTTCTTTTACCAAGAGAAACAATTTCATATGAAAATTATTTCCTGCATCTTTGCAATAATTTTCTTTTTACCAAGAGAAACAATTTCATATGAAAATTATTTGACTATAATTCTCTGCGCATGATCAAAAGTTCTCAGAAATGGCCCTCCTTAAGAAAATAATTTATTTTCTTTTTATGGAGAGAAAGAATTCGATCTTTTTTCTACGAAAAGAAACAACGCCACCAGATGAAATTTCACATGAGAATAGCGACGCAGGAACGAAACCGATACGTCTCTCTCTCATATATCGTTCGACTTCTACGTTCCACGGTATCACGGCCAAGGTGCGAGAGCGCGGCCTAATCGTTGCGCTCGTCAGCACGACTTCGTCATCTGTTTTCGGAGCGTTCGCGCTCACGCGTGATTCACGTCCCGCTCCTTCAAAACGCCGAGAGGCACGCTCGTAGGTAATGTGGCTCACTTACGGCGGCGGATGTACCATGTTAAGCAGCTCCGACGGCGAAGTGGGAACTCTACGTATCGTGAGCTTCCGGCCGTCGGAAGAGCCCAGGCCGATCGACGCCAGGGACCTGATCGAGACCGTGTCGGGGCACGAACGGGCATGACCACAGTTCACGTCGGCGTACAGGATGGAAGCCCAGGTGGGCGGCTGATGACAGCAGGAACAGTGCTGCTGACACTCGTCCATGGCGATGGGGAGCCTCAGCGAGCGTACACAGGGACAACGATGATGATGCCTCGCGAGGACCTGATCGACGCTCCTCAGAAGTCTGCCAGGACTTTGAGTACCGTTGTCGCGACCTGGACTCGATCTGGATTCACTCTGATCGAGCAGTCGGGATTGTTGCCAGCGAGGAGGACACCTGTCTTGACCGCTGTCGGGACTGTCGTCGCGATCGGTCGTCCTGCGGACGTTGTTGTTGGTCGTCGTCGGGGCGACGACGATTTTGCGACCGGCGGGACTCAGCAGACGACCTCCTTCCTCCGTCGACCACTCGGGCTCAGTCTCGCCGCGCTTTTCGTGGTGATACTGATGGTGGCTGATTCTGATAACGTCTGGGTCCGTATCGTCGGACACGACGTCCTCCTCTTCCGCCATCACGCTCATTTTACGTGCGCTACCGAGTTGTCGCTTGTGCGACTTGTTGTGGGCGGCACTGTCGTACTTCAGCAGAACGGGTTTGCTGCTATCTCGGTTTTGCTCGTCGCCGACGTTGTCGCTGACGCTGTTGCTGCCGCTCTCAGTGTCCATGATCGCATGACGGCCTGAAGACAGAGCAGACAACGATAAGTGAGAGAGAAAGAGAGAGGAAAGAATAGGAAAGGAAAAAATCTTTCTTCTACATCCTGATTATCTTGACGATTAACTTATCTCAGGATTATTCTGGGATAATCGAACGTATTCGTTGTTCTGCAAGCGCAATTATTGTACTCTAATATATGTAAAAGAAAAAAAATATCTAAAAAAATATAAAAAATATTTAGTAGGTAGTAATTTGCTTACACTGATATACATATTTTTCCATGGAAAAAACATCCCTCTCAGATGAAAAAATTTACACTTTTCTAAAAATCATTGCTTTTCATGGAAGCAATTCCATTCAAACTAAAGAATTTACAACTAAATAAATATGTTATTAGAGCACCCACTAAATAAATATCTTTTATTTATAGATAATTTTACTCTCAACGTGTGCGTACACGTAAAAAGTAATCGCCAAATCACGATTCATCTCAAGCACGCTGAATAGATATTAGCTCAAACTACACGTTTCCGGTTCTATAGAAGCCACGTAGATAGGATGGGAATGATATAGAAACAAATTCAATTCTTGCGGCTTCCTCGCGAGAGGAAAGTCAACTCGTTTCACCGTGGAATCTGAATAAATTCAGCAACTTATGAGCGCGCCACGCGCAGAGATGTCGGACGCGATGTTCGAGCGGGCTTCCGCCGATTTTATCGAGAAGGTAGTGCGACCCAATGATAGTGGGCGGCGGGGCGATAGAATACTCGTGGGATTAAATGAGAAGAATGCGCGCACCGTTAGGTATCAAGCAGCGAGATCAAAGCGCGTATTCGGCTTGATAGCCCGAGATCGAGCCTCCCCTTGATGGACGTAACGTCCATTGAATATTTAGCGTACGCTCGATCGCCGTTTTGACGAAATATTAATTTCGAATCGTACGTCCGTCTGTTAGCCGGTAATTCGGTTACCAATTCAAACAGCTTTGAACAGCGAGGAGAGTCATTCTGCGGTGGTATTCATGTGATTAACATAAATTGTCAGTTATGTTAGATGTCGTATATATCGCCATAAATTCGATTATTGTGGGAAGATCGTGAAATTCACGATTCGTTAATGCGAGATTCACAGCGAGCAATATTTGGTCGAAAATAAATAATTTTTATTGCGTCGATTAACGTAACTGGAAAATTTAAGTTAAAAGAAAAACTCACGGACTTTTCTTAAAAATTAACTCTTCAGCAAGCGAATCCTTTTTTATCTTACTTTAAGTCCTCGGGAGTGTATCTGATCTACTACTTTTCTAGACATGTGGTCTGCTAAGATGTGTATTTTTTCGTTAACATGTATTAACATGTAATTATAAACAATAGACTATATATTACTAAAAACGACGTATCTCTGATTGACACATTGCCTCCAAATTACACGCAAGTTTGAAGATAACAAAATGGTTGATCCAACTAAAATTACAATTATTTCTGGCCGCAATCATATTTTTGGATGTTTTAAATTAGACAAATGACAGTAATATGCATACAACATTATTATCACTAGCGTTATAGTAGAATTTAATATATAAAGAAAAGTTCTTCTTGATCATATTTATAGTAATTATTTCTCTTGTGCGATTATAGCTGCAAATAACATTTTTTCTCAATGTAATAAAGGGTTAATCAGACAATGAAATAAATATAAAGGCTAGTTTACACCTAGTCGGCCGAATGATGAGTCCCTGCGAGCACGAAAAATTGCGCGTTCGCGAAGGCCAGCTGATTCCCGGTCGTTCATCTGTTTCGCGACAATTGCAATTTCATACTTTTGTTTCCTCTGTCCGGGGCTTTCGCTGAGAGGTGACTTTCTCGCGCCACGACGCGCAAAGAAGCGGTGTACAACAATCACGTGTCCGTACCTCTCTCGCGGACGGACTATCGTCGTCGTGCTTTTTACGACATTCTGATAGCCGGAGATAGCATCATCGCAGGTGCGTGCGGCTATTAATCTAACATGATTTATCGCGAAGCCCTCACGCGTTTGACGGCGTGTGAGGGCACGCTTCTTCGCGCTATTTCGGCATCGCTGTCGTGCGCGCGGCAATCTGTCACATCGAACAAATAAATCGTTCACGAAACAGCGAGCACGCTCGCGAGAGTGATCTAGCAGTTATATCGGCACAACATATATACGTACGTCATTTATCTGTTCGCGGAACCGTTGCTCACGAAGCGCGTCCTTACCTCCTGGCTGTTAATGCACTTTTCTGTGGATACACATTGCACCGATATAACAGCGCGCTATCTCAATTATCGCGCGGGACCCGCATGCCTCGCGTTAACACTCGGAGCGAACGAGCGAACATTCACTGGTGGAAGCCCGTCGACGGTGGAAGCTATTCAGAGGCCCCGATCCGTCGTTCCGATACTCGAACGTCACAGAAGCCAGCCGCCCGCGCGCTTCCATTGACAAGGAGAAAAACAAATCGCGCGCTCTCGCATATGCGAGAGGTCGAATCGCGCGCGCGCGCGCGCGCTTTTTGGAGCGCGTCCTCGCAGATGATCGTCGTCATTCAATGACATGTCCATGCGCATCACGTGTCACATGGAGAGTGTTACCTGTCAGATCGCAGCGGTGTGCCCCGAGCGGACGCGTTCCAATGGGCCGAGCAAAAGTCATCCGCGTATCGCGAGCGCGATAACGAGCTTACGTACACGCGTGCGCTCGCTCACACGCAAGCACACACGTGCGTTATTGTCGTCCGTGCAGCATAACACACGCGCCCGGCGTTCGTTCACACTGTCGCGAGCGAGCGCGGATTCGCGAGATACATTGAATACGCGCGCGTCAGATGACAATGACAAAGGCGACGGCGACGACGAAGACGGCGACGACGCGAGACCGGGCAGCGAGGCGACGACACCGCCGACGACGAGCCGCGCTTTGCGGCGGTCCGCGTGCACGCCCGTCGTAATCATTCGCGAATCGTAACGCACGCACACACGCGCGCGTACATACATACACACATGATATACACACACACAAGCGCGCGCGCGCGCGCGTGACACTAATAATGATACCACGTCGCGACGTCAGCGCCGTTGTACGTGCATGACTCGTGACGCGTGTATAGTCTGAGAGACTCGGGCCTGAATCGCATGACTCGTACAACTCCGACGTTCCTGGCGGGGGCCCGTGATATCCTCTTCTGGACGTGTGCGCCCACCTCTCTTCATGGCCGGCACCTCGCTCGGTGGTTAGCTGCTCGAGTAGGGGAAGGTATCAATGTATGCTCGGTGACATGATTATAGAGGAAGACAAAGAGAGGTGTAGATCTCGCCAGGTGTGAATCAAAATCGCTCGGAGGCTTATCTGAATTTCGGGACATGAAACTGGTATAAGAAGCGACACCAAATAGCTTGGGAGTGTCAGAAGAACTTCGCGGAGATCTCGTGAACTTTCGAAGTTTTAGAAAGAAAGCGGCGGCAAGGCGAAGCCGAGTGGTGCGAATATGACAAGTGCACGCACGTGTATGTGCGTGTGCACAAATGTATATGTGTGCGTGTTATAAATAAAAATATAAGTTAGTAAGATCTGAGCGACTGCGCTACTTGAAAATGATAACGTATCGCTGTGTTAACGTAATCGACCAGCCACCCACTGTGTCTAAAGTGCGACCGAGAACTTTGTACTTTCCTCTCAAGCGCCACGCCGTCGGATCGCTTTCAAATCTGAGCTGTAAAGTGGCGTAATATTTAATTGTGCATGCTTGAGTATTTTGGAATTTGCATATCTTTTATCTGTCCATCTCGTAGAAAGTGGGTGAAGGTGTTTTCTATTACGCAAGTTTCTAGGCTGCAAGTATTCCTATATATATATATATATAGTGTTTTCGTAGGTGCGAATTATGCAACTCGATCAAGCACGCGACCGTGCGACTAACTGATCATACAACGTACGAATCTCCTTACTTTTTGCTTCATTCACATTCACACACCTCGAAGCGATCGACTGGCTTCGAGCAGGTTTCATCCCGCTCGTAGGCAACGTGCGAAGCACACCGTCGTTCGCCTACCAAGTGGCAACCAGATTTACCGCGGCGCTGTTCAGTCTATCTTGCCGGAGACAGGCGCCGAAACTCGTATCGCTCGATATGCAAACGCGTGGAATTGCAGATCCTGAAATCCTATTGCTGACATCTTGCTCGCCTCTTCGTTTCTGCAAACAGTATTATTTCCACGGAAGAAAGAATTTGGCTGAATTGCCCAAATTTCTGAGGAAATGTGAACGCAGACATCTTGTTCAGACTTGAACGAAACTCTGGCAAGTTCAGTCGGAATTCTTGGTTCGTTCATATTTCATTGAGAATCTAATTAATCCAGCCAAACTCATTCTCCCATGTCGATTTCATTCTGATCTTTGCAGCTTAAGGAATGTGCGAGATGTAAAAGTAAGAGAGAGATAATTAGCTGCGAGAATATTTAATTCCACTGCACGAGAAGAAGCAAGATGCAAGGAGCTCGGCTTTATAGGGATTACTACACATCAAATAGAAAAATATATTTCTTATTCCGATTCTTATTCCTTATTCCATTCCCCGTGCAATAGCTTGTTTGCATTGTGAATTTGAAATTGTAATTGGTCCCCAAATTATCATGTATAGAGGCAATATATTCCCGGAAAGAAAGATCGTATATGAATTATGTTCTTATATGGCCATACATAATCATGCATAATTACACATGTCCGGAACGAAAAAAATATTGTTACACAAGTACAATCAAAGTAAATGCTTACGCTTCTGACAGCACATGATGTCGACGTTTAATCAAATGGAATTATTTTCTCCCTTTTTCATTAAATATCACTCGTATGAAAAACACGTATGATTATATATGTAAGCATATGTAATTTTTTGTATATAATCATATATAATTATTTCTTCCCGGATTACCTAAAAAGAAGAAGAAAAAGTAAGTACTAGACTCTTAAACGCAAAATACTGCGCGAAAGAGTGAACGACAATGGCGGTCGAAAAGCTCGCGCGCCTCAATGGCAGCCAAGGTTCCGCTCCTTTCACCTCGGTCCTTTTTATTCTACGATCAATATCGATTATCGTGTAATGCACGCGCGTCTACACGCGAGCGCGGCGTTTAATACGTAATACGTAATACAGCGGTAGGATCATTGGGCCAAGGACCATAAGCGGCGGCGGCTGTTGGGTTCAATTCCCACGGAAGACCGGGTAACGGCTGCTCAACGGGCCCCAGTGTCATTATCCGATAAGTAACAAGTACAAGTTGAACGTAACCTTTTTCTGCGTCGCGCCTGAACGAGGGAAATATCCGCGCGATTAGGATTTCAGCGATCCGGCGTCCTCGTTCGCGTTCCTGCGCGAACGATTTGATCGCCAGGATTTATCGCCGGAGGGGGCGACACGACGACGACGAAAACGACGACGACGACAACGACGATAAATTCGCCGGCGAAAGCCCGCGGGAGAATAATGGGCCTTCGCGGATATTATGCGTGTTAGAAGTTGCGAACGGTGACGCAAACTCACGGAATAAGCATACGCGAGTCGCGCGACGGTCAGGGTCGTAGAGACGACAGTTGCTCAACTGTTAGAGACATATCCGTGTTTAGCTGGGATATTCAAATTTCACGGATTGCAACGCGCGGCATGTGCCGTACCTTTCACGGTACGGGGCATTGTGTGCGCGTTTGCATGTTTGCATCTGACATTAAAGCCCACGTAGATACTTCCATAATCTTCGCGTAGAACAGCCGATCCGAATAATCGTTTGGACTCGCGCGAGCGCGCCCAACTCTCGCCTCGGAACGATCCAACCAAAATCGAAATTGCTATAAGAGACGCGCGAGATCTTGTAGGATAATAAAGGTTGCGCGGACAGCTGATTTCTCGAGTGGAGTAACGCGCAACATTATCCAACTGAGATAAATTTTATTCCTTTGAATTTTTTATTTTCTGGAGCTTATCTCCGCCGCGAAGATTTCTTCATAGGATCTCTCTCGAAACGTGCCAGGTTACACCTCGTAAATACACCTGCCAGTTTGACATCGAGGAGACGCCACTACGGGTTACCTCGCAAGATCGTAAAACGCTAATAACATCGTTAAGTCGTCCTAATTTGTACAGCGCATTTCGACTGTTAGCGCGTGGGTATCAGTCGCGCGAGCGTTGATCTTCGATCTTTTTACCACACCAAACTCCGACCAAACTTTTACATTTAATGAACCGAAGAACTTTGCGATCTCTGGCTATTCGCAATTGAATATAATATACGGTATGATATATGATGTAATATATCCTAGATAGGCAGGTGTACGTAAATTTTGGCAGTGACCTACTAATCGACTTGTAAAGATTGCCTTATGAGTGGTTCATCATAAGTGGTGCTCATATTTACTACGTAGAATGACAAAGTGTAAAAAATGCATGAGAAATATGGAAAGAATGATGAAAATTTGCTCCAAACAATACGTTGCGTAAAATGTAACATACAAATCTGAATATAACTTTTAGTAAATTTACAGCCGCATCAATATAGCAAGAAATTTACATTATTGCGCGATATAAATTTAATGATTAATTCAGTGCAATGTATTTACTTCGTATACATGTTAAACATTTAAGTTTTTAACTTTGAATTTACATGCTAAATTTAATAATTAATTTAATACACAGCATATTTATTTCATAAGTGTAATTAAGAGAATTGTAAGGTTTCCATCATCGGTTGCCTCGCGTGTGGCGATAATCATGAAAATAATCATAATAATAGATCTAGGATCATTTCTTCATTATCGCGAATGACAAGATGCGCGTCTGAACTTAAGCATGTATCGTGAAACTCTTTGGAATAGATTCAGAATAATTCGGAATTATTTCATTATTCCCTTCTATCTTGTTCTTTCTAGGCAAAACGGAATTATTCAGAATCGGTCCCGAGGAGTTCCATAATACGTGCCCTGAATCCGTAATAATAGCAGTTACGATCCCTGCTGACCGACATGTCGCATGGGAAACTGCACGAACGCGTCCGTGGGCCACAAGCCGCGACATCGTCTCCCCGAAAAGGCAATCAGTCATTCTTGCTCGGCGTATCGACTCACCGACACCAAGAGAACGATCGCGGAGCCGATCCGATCTGATGTCGATTCGAGCCGGGAATCGAAAAGGAGAGGAGACGCATCGCCGTGAGATCGCGCGTTGCGCAAGATCGTCGTCTTGTGTGTGTCATTACGTAAGGGCGAAAACTCCAGACTCATATGCCGAGCGTCACTTGGTGATCGACGAGGTGGGAATCCCGGTGGAAGAGTCGCGCTTGGAGTCGACGTCGACGACGACGTCGCCGCGTCGCAAATGCTGGGGTCGGCTGGTGTCGGTGCCGGTGTCGGTGCGGCTCGCAATCAACAACGACAACCGGACGTCGCTCGCAGGTGGCGGCTGCTAAAGCGAGACAGCGTCGACAAAGCGGGGGTGTTGCCGTCTCCTGAACTGCCTGCTCCCGATTCCCGAGCTCTAGAGGGAGCGACGCAGACCACGCCGAAATAAACTTTCCCGGGTTATGTAAAGGCTGGCACCTCCGCTTCGTGGACTCCGCTGGTATAAAGGTCGGCTCTGCCCCCAGCGGTCCAAGAGTTGCTCGCGAACTTCACGTCGGCAACCATCGAGAGAGCCGAGCGAGACGCTCTACATGTGACGCTGCCTGGTGCCTGCCTTTCCGCCAACGTCGTCCACCTTCCGTTACGCACGCGCCACTCCACTCCGCTCTAAGGAGTTTCGCTTTCTCGGGCGCGTGCAAAAACACGCGTTCGTCCGCTTCGTCCTCGCCGTCGTCGTCGTCGTCGAGCCGGCAGCATGCGTGCTCTGGTAAGTACTCCTCTTCGTCGTAGACTCCTCTTGTCTTGGATCCTCGCGAGCTTGATGGTTCATGAGCGCCTTCAGGAGTTTGTTCATTTAATCTGATATACTTGGAATTACATGAAAATTTAACGCAACATTTGTCGTAGCAGAACACATTCGTAGCTAAAGTTTCGTGCGATTTGTTTGCACCGTTTGTGAGCAATTTCATACTGAATATCGCGCATATAATTTTATGTTAGGGAAACAATACAGATGGCCATTGTTCCTATGTAGCTTCATAAAAAAGGTGATTCAAATAACTTACTTATAATTATTAAATATTAGGAAACGCGCATAGAAGAAAAATTGTATTCACTAAACCGTTTTTGTGTAATGGTCAATATATAGATTAAAAAACTGCAGTTTTATATGCTTTGGGTAGTATTGCACTGAGTAAAATGTGGCAAAATAGTGAAATTAGATTCAAATTAATATTCATTATTTAGATAGTGAAACAAATACATAAGAATTTTGCTCGATAAATAGTGAATTCACAAGTAGCTCCCTTCTTGCGCCACTGAAAATACGCTCCTTGGCCGCGCTGAAAATACATACTCGATGAATGAACTCCTTGACGTCGTGAATTAACATTGTCCATCCCGTCATGTCTCGCACCATTGTGTCTTCCGTTGAATTGACTGAGGAAACAGCTCTACGCTAAATGAGAAATTTGAGTATGGGCGAGGAGGGCTTTATTGAAGGAGGAGGGAAAGAGCAACGCTCTATGTTTCTATTTTTATTTCCACTCCCCGACGACACTAAACATTAACACTTTGTCTTCACGACATTATATTATTATATCTTCACGATGCCGAACGCGATCGAAGAGACATTCAACCTTGTTACGTACAACTTCGCCGGTACGGTAACTCGGCGGTTGTGATAGCGCGAAATCAAATTGCCGGTAGCAGAAGTTGCTCCTTGGTCTCTTGCGGTTGATCGCAAGCTGGGAAAAGAGAGAGAAGAATTTACACACTCTACGCGCGGGAGAGAGAGAGAGAGGGGGGGGGAAAGAGAGAGAGACACAACAATGTTTTCCCGGCTAACGAATGTGCGGGGGCACAACTTTCGCGGTAACGTATGCATGAATATAAGTTGTAATTTTATGGGGACTGTTTTGCCAGAGAAGCTTTTACGTGTAGCGCGCGGATAAAGTATGATGCGCCATCACGCTCTGATAATTTTACGAGCTTTATGTATCTGGGACACACGGGGAAATACATAAATTACAGGCAGATATAAAATATATGTGCATACGTATGTATACATGTACGATGTATTATATCGCGCGCGATATCAGGCATTACGCAAGTTCCAACAATACAGACGGAGGGAGAGAGAGAGAGAGAGAGAGAGAGAGTAGATTAACTCGTGCTTATACGATATTACCGTTATTAATACGCGCGTTTCAAATTGACAATACTAACTGACAATGCACTTTATCCGTCGTTCAGAAGTCATTTATAAATGGCGACCCGGCCGTGTTATTTCGCCCCGTTTGTCGTTTTATAATAAATCAACCTCGATAAAAACGCGTCGATAAAACGGCCGCGCGTGCAATAATTTTCCTTCGCGACAGCCTTTTGCGAAAAAGCGAAAAACAATACAAAAAAAAAAAATACACACAGAGAAATACGCACTCGATTTCCACATATATTTCCGCATTAGTCATATTCCATATATATTGAATTTCCATAAACGATAAACGCGTCCGATTTCTCCGCGACGCGGAGGTTGAATTTGGTCACGTGTACATATTCATAAACGGCGGTGCGTGATTTAGCATTATGTGTGCTATGATAGGGCTATTTATCACCGTATGAAAGTTACGCGACGCAAAATGACCATTACGACATTGCATAATCTATTAAATTACGTAATCCATTGAATTCGCAAAACTCGCATAATTCAACGGGCCCGACGGCGCACATTGTTGTGCATCTCGCGGAGCACCGCGGACGAGGTACTCGTCATCGTCTCGAACGAACCGCGCGAGCCGGTGTGTGATTTGCATATACATATATTTTCTAATTGTCTACTTTCTCGCGTAGAAAGTACATCGGGTTGGCCGGCTAGTTCGAGTCTCGTCTGTTCGATATCCACTGTGTTAAAACCGATCGACGGTGTATCATCGCGAGCTCTGCCGGTTTCTCACGCCGATTCTGACACGCTTGTTAGTCTTTTCTCGAGTAGATATACATAAATTTGTCGTGGCAACTTGACTAAATTAGCATGATCGAGAACGAGACTCGTGTGAAAAGTGTCTCGAAACAGGAATATGAGAATTGCCAATGGATAGTTAAAGATTTAACTGCCAAGTTTAACATAAGTTCAAAAGATTTAAGGGACATCGGAAGATATTAAATTAAATTAATAACAGATATAATTAAATTCAAAAAATATATTAAAGTGACAATATTTTTAAATACAATTTTTTTTTCTATATATATATATATATATATATATATATATATATATAT